TACGGGCTTTGGTTGGTGCCGGTTGTTGTTGTTGTTGTAGCGCCGTTGAGTGTGGAATGCAAACTCGGGTACTGACGTTTTCTTCTTGTGCCGCTCCTCTTGCAAGTCCATGTCTTGCTGCTCAGCGTGAATCTCGGCGCAGAGTGCTGCTTCGGAGATTTTCCCATGGGCTTGGAGGATGGCTCATGTGGAGCACCATTGAGGACCGAGGCCGCCGATGATGACTGTCACGAAGGCGTCTTCAGATATTGAGCCTCCGCATCGAAGAAGTTTGTCGCGCAATTCGCGACAACGGCTGATATACGCCATTCCCTTTTCGCCAGGCTTCATTTCCACTGTTGTCAGCTGTGCCATTAGTCGACTTTGATTGACGCTGTCTGTTGCTTAATACAGGTTCTTCAAGTGGTTGTATGCAAGCTTGGCGGAGTTGCCGTATCCCCGATAGGACCGGATGTTCTGCTGCTGGTTTGGTGTGATGTTGCGCAGTAGAATTGTGTATGCCATCATGGACTGATATGTATACTGCTGCTTGTCATATTGCGTCCCGTGTGTTGGGTATGGCAGGGACCCGTCGAAGAATCTAAGAATCTGCGCGCCTTCCATCATCAACTCGAACTCGAATGACCAGGTGAAGAAATCTTTACCGTTGAATGGCCTTGACGTTTGCGATTTTAGGACGTGTGCAAACTGCGACTGAACTTGAAGTGCATCCAATGTCTTCTCTTGCTCAGGTGAAGGCTGCTGGCGCGGCATGAAGCTGACGGAACCGCGCTGGGGTTCGTACGAGGCGAAGGTAGGCTGTTGTTGCTGATTTCCTCGCGCGTAGGATGAACCGTCGAGGCTCATCGGTGTCACATCGTTGTTGTTGTTGCTGATGTTTGACTGCGCAGGTGCCCCTTGCTGATGTTGTTCGTAGAAGGACATGAAGGAGAATAACTTCTCCATCATGCTTGGGTCGAAGCCAGCGGCTTGATTTGCGGGAGTTTCAGTGGACCCTGCTACTGGTCTTGTTGACGTGCCCTCCTCTGTCTGTAGGCCAGAGGCAGGAGGTGGAGTAGGAGTAGTGCCAGGAGAACCATTAGAGGAACTTCTCTCCTTTTGTGTTGCCATGCCTTTTGTTGTAGATGTCTTGATAGTGGTTGAGTTTGCTCTGTTAGCTCTCATACCATGTTGGGCTGAGAAAAGCCCTTAGGATCTTTGCAGGGTTAAACTCTGGGTAGGAACAATGTAATAGCGGAAGCGTTTAGTGATAAGTCCTTGAACCACCTTGCGCTGGTATGCGAGGGCAAAGTAGATTGATTAAAACAAGGAAATACAAGGTTTTTTAAGAGAGTACAAGGAATACGAAGAGATATAACTAATAGCTGTTTTACTGTTGCTGTTGCGGTTTGATACAGTGCCGACTCGGGCAACTGCTCAGTAACGAGTCAGTTGTTTGTCCTTGCTGTCGCGCTGTATTTGTCAGGTCGAAGGTCGCTGACCTTTGACTTTCGCGTAACCTCCAGCAGTTGTTTTTCTTCTCAACCTCCAAGTATTGACTCGCCGATGCTTCGCTGTGCTTTGCCTTGTTTACGACTTAGTGTTTCGACACACAACAGAAGCGATTAAATTACTTATTTCCAACACTCCCCTTCGGATGTAATAGCTGTAATTTTACTTGGGGGGTACACTTTATGTAGCAAAGCATAAATGATATCGAACTTGATCTCAGATGATAAGCCCATGTACCAAGCGAACTATCTAGTTGTTCTCTTGCCTTGATATCTTGCAAACCATGTGTCTCTGCTCCACTCCACCCCTTACAAGCCTCGATGAGTTGAAAGGTCAAGGGTTGGTAAACCTCTCGGATATACCCCTTAGCCCACAGCCACACTGAGCCTAACAACCCCCCTACCATTTTTTATGGGCATTCCAACCCCACATGCCCAGTTGAAATGTCCATAAATTGTCGGGGTAGCATGGTTGATGAGGGGCAGGCAGGCTACCATATTAGAACGTCCAGTACAGTTTGATTACGCAGCTGCATTTGTTTTTTTCTTAAGACTTCACATGTGCAAGCTCTATAAGAAAGATTCACTTCAGTGAGCTTATATATGTAACACGGCGAGCTCAACACAGCACCGCCAAGTTGCTTAAGAACTACTGAGAAGCGCTAGCAAAGCAACTGGGCTTACTGATGCCTACCTTTCTCCCCTAAAACTGAGACTAGCTGGCCGTTTCCTCCTTGACGTCATGTCTGCCATCATTGGCACGCACTCATGCCTGCTACCCTCAGCCAGCTGATAACCCCTGAAGCACAGACACTCAAACTGCAGGTACTCTTCTGAAGCAGGTCCATAATCTGGTTGCGACCCTGATTCATAATCCTCTAGAGTGGTCGCCGGGACGCACACGCCATGGCCCGAGCAAGGAGCGTTGGTGGCATTGGTGCCACAGAACGTGCTGCAGAGCTCAGCACGGTGCACAGACTTCATAGGACAGACCTGATCGCCTGAAGCAAGGCAATTCCAGGAGGCGAGTAGCTTTGTGGTCGGCAAATCCAAGGGTGTGCCAGTTGGCGTGTAGTGATTGGGGGATTCAGCAGGGCAAATCGGTTCGTCTCCCACCAGAACTTCCCCACTCCCGTAGAAGAAATTTCCTCTGAAATCAGCTGCAAAATCCTGATTTGGTCGGGCTAAGTCCGGCAACCTGCCCGAGAAGAAATTGTGGGAGATGTTGAGGAAGCTCAGGGCGACGTTGACTAGGGCATCACGAGGCACGATCCCCACAAACCGATTATGGCTGAGCGTGATACTATCGAGGTTCTCCATGCCGCGTAGCGCCGTCCACGGAAAGATCCCAGTGAATCCGTTATAAGCCAGGTTGAGGTAGTTGAGCTGAGAGCCAGTACCCAACAAGTTTCGTGGAATCTTTCCTTGCAACACGTTGCCTGCAAGACTCAGCCCCGTCAGGTTCTTCAACTGTGCGAACTCCGCCGGAAAGCTGCCCGAGATTTGATTCCAGCTGACATCGATGTACTGTAGCGAAGGGTGAACCGCTAATGGCGCTAACGAAGACGCGTATAACGAGTTGCGATGAAGGTCAAGCACTTCCAGCCGCCGCATGGAGTTAATCGCGCTGAAAGGAAGGTCACCCGTGAGGACATTGTGTCCCAGGCGAAGCGTGCGAAGTACGCGAAATTTGTCGAAACTGGAAGGTATTGATCCCGAAAGGCGATTGGATTCCAGCGAAAGCTCCACGAGTGACCGCATCGACGCGAGTTGCGGCGGGATGGCTCCTTCCAGGCTGTTGGAGGCAAGGTCGAGCCACGTCAGCCGATGCAGTGTCGAGATTTCGCGAGGAATCCGACCCGTGAGACTGTTTTCGCTCAAGGAGAGGGTTACCAGGTTCGTGAGCTCGCCAATCCCTCGCGGAACGTTGCCCGTCAGCTGGTTGTCGGAGAGGATAAGAATGGATAGGTCCGTAAGCGCTGTGACAGTCTCTGGAAAAGGTCCCGATAACCCGTCTCCGTTTCCCGAAATGTAAAGCTCCCGTAAGAACCGAAGGTTGCTGATTTCGCCAGGAAGCGAGCCAGTCAGATTGTTCCCCACAAGCGTGAGGCTCTCGAGGGCCGATAGGTCACCGAAGGTGGGCGAAATCCTTCCGGTAACACGTGACGAAATGAGCATCACCCCGTTGACGTCGCCATTGCGGGCACAGCTGATTCCCGACCACTTGAAGCAGTCCGCTCCTGAGATCCACGAATCTGAGCCGTCGAATTCGCCCCATTCGGATTTTATCGCCAGAAGCGCGTCTTCTTGGGAGGGTTCTATCACGGCTGCTTCGGATTGATGAGGCAGAAGCACGAAATGAACTATTAATAATGCTGTAACTATCGTTGCCCTGAGGTAGGGAGCTCCAGCGACTTGGACCAGTAGCGAGGCATGACGTGAATTGTGCGCATCTAGATAAGGCGCCATAACTGTCTGCTGTGCTGGTTGGGTTATCTCGGGGTGTGCTAACACACACGAGGTCTACTTTCTAGGCTAATTTTCGCAAAGTACGTAATATGAAAAAAAGGTAGCGAGAGTCATGTCAGAGTGATACAGCTCTCGAGATCAGCGAGGAGTTGTGGATGGATGAGCACAGCCGACCATGTAGGCCGCCTACCTTGCATACAAACAAGCCGTTTCTGGCCGTGGGAAATGAGTGAGAGCCACCCACCCTGTTGCGGTCGGTCACATGTGTGACGACGAACAAATGAACATCGGGCGATGAAAAGCGGGAATGCGAAGTTGGGAGCAAAATGTTCACCTAATTTGCGGTTCGGATGTTCTGTCTGATTGGGCAAAGGTTTGAATTCCCGCAACGCTGATGATCGTTGAAGAGTAAATTGGTGTGGCGAAATTTGGAACGGCGAGAGAAGGGATTCCCGTTCAAGCCACCGTGATCAACGCTCGAGTGTGTTGATTTGTTATCGCCCACGTACATGAATAAAGCACCTTACAGGTGCATACACATGTCACTTATAGGTTAGATAACATATTATGTCATTCATTGAAAGTTCCATAACGTTTCCTGTAAGTAGTTCCATAAGATCTGCAGAGCCTCACATCGAGTCACAAAAACCATGAAGTGATAATGGAATTTCAACATAAAGGGCATCTTCAATCAATCCAACGTGCATGGAATAACAACCTAATATTTCCTCCAACAGGAGTTTTTAATTGATGCAAAGCTGAAATGAGCACTAAAACCAGCACTGTACAGGTGATTAACGAGTAAAGCCTGAAATGAATCCTTACCCAACAGAGTTCTATCCCTGGCAATTTCCAGACTGCATCAGCGCTGGAGCACATGGTAGAAGAATTTCGTTTTACCTCTGCCGCCTGTAGCCTCCCTCGTACACGAATGATCAGTGCGGCTCGATGAGTACTGGACTTGCGATTAACCAAAGCCGATAAGCACGGCTGTACATGCGTCAGCTGGTAGAAACAAGGTCGTGATAGGCGTAAGCGGACATGGCTCCATCAGCGGCACCACTACCGTCAGCAGCAGCAGTGGAGCAGCACCACGAGAGCTTTCGGCGATGCGTGGACGATTGGGATTCTCGCGTGTCGGTGTTGACGCACCAGGTATGTGCAAACCCGTTATACGCACACTGGCTTCGTGCACCTCCTCCTTTACGTATCTGCGCACCCACCATCATGCGTATGGTCTTGTCTTCGTCAATGCATCTCCGCTTTCTCTTCCCCACATCCGATTCCGCTTCTGGTGTTTTCGTGTAAATTCCTGTCACTAAGAATCCTTGTGAATCCTTACGCGTGTATCAATTTCGGTCAGTATGTTATCAGCTCGCATCGTCTCACACCACTGCTTTCCGCAATAACACCGTCAGTCCTTTATCAGTTGCTCCATGTACCGTATAAGATTCCCATTTCATTCTAGAATTATCCGTGAGATCAACCCTTCTGACACTTGTCCAATGTCCAGTTGCAGTCTCGGAGCCAGTCAGCATGTGAATTAGACAGCTGGCACGACGTGATTGGCGTATCTGCAGAGCCATGGGGCGGAAGGAATCCTGCTGCAGCATCCATAGCAGCTTCTGTATTGGCCTCGGCAGCAGCAGCACCTGCAGCAGCAGCAGCAGCAGAAGCAGAGGGTTCAGCACGAGTGTCGCCAGATTCGTTGAATCTGCTCATTCAACACATCTCGTCCAAATGCTGTGCTATATACGATGCAGAACAGGAGGTGTGCGTGTGTGTGTGTGCGTGCGTGTGCGTGCGTGTGTGTGTGTGTGTGCGCGCGCGTGCGTGCGTGCATGTGCGTGTGTGTGGTACACTTGTGACGATTTGTGGTGAGGGGAGTGCCTGTGGGGGTGTGTGTGTATGCATAAAACCTTTCTAAAAAAGGATTGTCTGCCCTTTCTGTTCATATTCCTCATTCCTCGTCTGCTCCCCACCCTCGTTTCTGCCTCCTGCCTCACTTCCCCTGCTTCTTTCAACCCCTTCCTGCCCCCTTATCCCTTCCTCCTTCTCCATCCCCCCTCCTCCATTTCTCCCTGTTTACCTCATCCTCTGCAGGTCTTACATCGGTTGCTGCCACGCCTGCTCCTATTTGGGAAATCTCCCGCCGTCAACCCCCACTCCAGTGCTACTCCCGAGTCCTCTTCCTCCAACGCAGCATCCTCTGTTGTGGGGGGAACGATAGCTGATCAGCACGAGGATGGGGATGCGGGTGAAGCTGGGGATAGTGATGCGGAGGATAGGGGGGATAGGGAGGAGCGGGAGGGCAGGGATGGAGACGGTGGATCAGAGGAGAGTCAAGAAGAGAGAGATGATAGTAGAGGGTTAGGAGGACCAGCTGAGGCGAGAGGTGAGGGCGGTACAAGCAAGAGTGGCAGACCTCAAGGTGATGACAGCGAGGCGGGGCGGGATAGATCCGAGGAGGATTCGAAAAAATGCGAGGAAAGTGATTCAGTGGAGGAGGCTGAAGAGGCGGGCTGGGAGGGCGGGAGTGCAGTGGAAGAGGGAAGGGAGGGAACGGGAGGGGTGGAAGGGGAGGAGCAGCAGCAGGTGGCGCGTGTGTTGGTGGAGCTGCAGGCGCTGGTGCTGGTGGGGAAGGACCTCACAGCTACAATGGAGGAGCTTCTAGTGCTGCTCGTGACGCTGGTTGGAGGGGAGGATGGGAGGGGCGCAGGGTGGTGGGATGGAGGGCTGGGAGAGGGGGAGGCAGATGAGGGGCTTCAGGAGCTTCTCCGTTCTGACTGGTTCAAATCGACAGAGTATTTCACAGTAAGTGTGTTAATGGAGCTGCAGGCGCTGGTGCTGGTGGGAAAGGACCTCACTGCCACTATGGAGGAGCTTGTTGTGCTGCTCGTGGGGCTAGTTGGAGGGGAGGATGGGAGGGGCGCAGGGTGGGATGGAGGGTTAGCAGGCGGATTGGGAGAGGAGGAGGCGGATGAGGGGTTCAGGAGCTTCTTCGTTCTGATTGGTTCAAATCAACCGAGTACTTCACAGTGCGTCTTGATGCATTCCTGTATAACATTAGCCGAGTGAAGCAATTTAGCCTCTGTTTCACCCACTCATCCCCGCACCTGTTTGTTTTCCTTTCCCCACCTACTCCTACTGATGGGCAGGCTGCAGGGACGCCTGTGCTCTTGGTAATCGAATCTGCATCTGCTCTTGATGCCAACCCTTCTCTGCTCGTTTTTGCATTCTAACCCTGTGCTGCTCGTTCTTGGTACCCCTATCTGCTAACCCCATCCATCTTGCTACCCTCTCAGCCGGCACTAGACGCGCTTGCAGCAGGGGCGGCTGTGCTCTTGGTGATCGACTCGGCACTTGCTGCCAACCCTCCCTTGTCGTTTGCATCTCTCTTACCCCGCTTGCCCCTTTCTGTGTACCCCGTCTTGATAACTTTCTCAGCCGGCACTAGACGCGCTTGCAGCAGGGGCGGCTGTGCTCTTGGTGATCGACTCGGCACTTGCTGCCAACCCTGCTGTTGCCCGGGGGATTGCTGCGTACAACAGGTGCGTGGTGGGGGTGTGGTGGGGTGGGCATTCACACACAGACGCTGATTTTTCTTGACTTCTTTCATTGCCTTGGCTTGGCCCACTCCTCACGTCCATTCCCTCTCCATCACCCACTCTATATCCACAGCCCTCTAATTGCCCTTCATGATCTATCCCTTCTTCCATCCTGCCCCCTCGAGTTGACTTTTGAGTCGACTCAAAAGTCAACCCCCTCCAATTGCCTTTCATGATCCATCCCTTCTTCCATCCTGCCCCCTCCTGTTTATTCCTCTCCCATCCACTACTCTCCGCTCTCTCTCACTCGTCTTCTTCCAACACCCTTTTGCCAATCAGAATGCTTCAGGCAGTGCGTTGTAACATGGAGGCATACTCCTCGGTGCACAGCGGTGCAAAGCGGTACCAGAAACAAAGAGGGAGAAGCAGCAGAGGTCAACGCGAAGAGTTCGAGCTGTCTCTGGCGGAGCTTCAGGGGCTGCTGATGATGCTGGAAGCAGCAATAGGGCCGCAAGGCCAGGAGGGAACATTTTTCCAGGTAGGTTTCCCCACATTCCTTCTCTCCTTTGTTCGCCTCCCTATCTTCTTTCCTTTGTCCTTTCTAATATTCTGCAAAAACAAACAAATCGTGCCGCCTCCCAATATCTCTTCAACAAGCCCCTCCATTTCTTGTTGATTGTATCCAAAATCTAAAAACTGGGATCCACAATTTTGATAATCGCCTCCCATCCCATCCCACCGGACATTTCACAGAGCTGGAAGGAGAGTGTAGCCCGGGCAGTGGGTCCTGAGGCACCTCCCGTCGCTGCTGCAGCTAAGGCTGGGAAAGGAGGAAAGGGGGGCAGGGCAAAGGCAAGTGGGGGGCGGCAGGTGCTGAGCGGGCGGGCGCTGTGGCGGCAGCAGCAGAAGTGGCTGCTGCCGCTGGTGACTCACTTGAACGCCTCTGCTTATTCTGCTCTCCATGCCATTGGTAAGCTCTTTTCTTTTGAGGCGCCTAAAAAAATGCTGAGCGGGCGGGCGCTGTGGCAGCACGGCAGCAGCAGAAGTGGCTGCTGCCGCTGGTGACTCATTTGAACGCCTCTGCTGATTCTGCTCTCCATGCCATTGGTGCGTTCTGTTTTGTCCAACTTTTAAGATGCCTCAAACGTTGCTGGTGGTGGCTCATCGCAACTCCTCTGCCAGCTTTGCTCTCCATGCCATCATAAGTTCGTGCTCATTGTCATCCTTCCCCCATTCCTCCCCTTTCCCCTCTCGTTCCTTTTCCCATTCTTCCCTCCCGTCCTCACCTGCCCACCATGTCAATTGCACTGCCAGGCAGCCACTCCGAGCAGCACAACACCCACCACCACTTTTTGAGTCGACTAAAGAATTCTCTCCTGTCTCTTCCCACCCACCATGTCAATTGCACTGCCAGGCTGCCACTCCGAGCAGCACAACACCCACCACCACTTTTTGAGTCGACTAAAGAATTCTCTCCTGTCTCTTCCCACCCACCATGTCAATTGCACTGCCAGGCAGCCACTCCGAGCAGCACAACACCCACCACCACTTTTTGAGTCGACTAAAGAATTCTCTCCTGTCTCTTCCCACCCACCATGTCAATTGCACTGTCAGGCTGCCACTCCGAGCAGCACAACACCCACCACCACTTTTTGAGTCGACTAAAGAATTCTCTCCTGTCTCTTCCCACCCACCATGTCAATTGCACTGCCAGGCTGCCACTCCGAGCAGCACAACACCCACCACCACTTTTTGAGTCGACTAAAGAATTCTCTCCTGTCTCTTCCCACCCACCATGTCAATTGCACTGCCAGGCAGCCACTCCGAGCAGCACAACACCCACCACCACTTTTTGAGTCGACTAAAGAATTCTCTCCTGTCTCTTCCCACCCACCATGTCAATTGCACTGTCAGGCTGCCACTCCGAGCAGCACAACACCCACCACCACTTTTTGAGTCGACTAAAGAATTCTCTCCTGTCTCTTCCCACCCACCATGTCAATTGCACTGTCAGGCTGCCACTCCGAGCAGCACAACACCCACCACCACTTTTTGAGTCGACTAAAGAATTCTCTCCTGTCTCTTCCCACCCACCATGTCAATTGCACTGCCAGGCAGCCACTCCGAGCAGCACAACACCCGTCGCCACTTAGCCGGATGCATCGCTCTCTTCCTCTCCCTCGCACCCATAGCAGGTGAGGTGACCCACTTTTGAGTCGACTAAAAAAACATACTTTTGAGTCGACTAAAAAAACCTACTTTTGAGTCGACTAAAAAAACCTACTTTTGAGCCGACTAAAAAAACCTACTTTTGAGTCGACTAAAAAAACCTACTTTTGAGCCGACTAAAAAAACCTACTTTTGAGCCGACTAAAAAAACCTACTTTTGAGCCGACTCAAAAGCCACTTAGCCGGATGCGTCGCTCTCTTCCTCTCCCTCGCACCCGTAGCTGGTGCGGTGACCCACTAGATTGGTCTTTTCTTTGGTACCTTCTTAATCTGTTTCTTGTTTTCGTGTATTTGTTTCTATTCTCGTCTCTACTCAAGAATCGATACTCACCCTAATCATTCACCTTTTTCGTTCTCGTGGCAGCATCGGGCTATGAGAAGCAACTCATGAAGGCCACCCCAAGCCTGTTCGAGGCTGTCAGGCTACATCCTCTGTTACCTCTCGCCGGACCCCTCCTCCTCTCCACCCACCTGTCTCCTCTTCCTCTTGTCCTTCTCATAATACCCGTTGCCTTTTCTCTTTTTCTTCCGTGGCAGCATCTGGCTATGAGAAGCAACTCATGAAGGCCACCCCAAGCCTGTTCGAAGCAGTCAGGCTACATCCTCTGTTACCTCTCGCCGGACCCCTCCCCCTCTCCGCCTCTCTCCCCCCCCTCCTCGCCCTCCACCTCCCCCCTGCCCTGCTGGCGGTTTCCCCTGCGCCCTTCTCTGCCCTGGGGGAGGGGAAGGGTGGGGGGAAGGCGGGAGCAAAAGGGGCAGGCGGAAAGGGGGGGGTGAAAGCAGTGAAAGGGAGTGCAGAGAAGAGGGGGAACGGGGGAGAGAGTGCGCGTGGAGTGAGGGAGGTGTGTGAGGATGTATTGAGAGGAGCATTGGATCGGGCTAATGAAGACCTTCCAAGGTGTGCATGGCATTGGTGGTGCCTTCCTCCTGTACTGTGCTAGGAATGGCCATTCGGTCTTTCTGTCGTGATTTTTGAGTCATTTAAAAGATCACCTCCATGCCAATGTGTGGAAGGTGATGGTGCCTTGCCGTCCTCCTAGATTGTGCCAGGAATGCTGTTCGGCATTCCTGTCCCAGCTGATTCATTCCTTCCCTCCTCTACCTGCCTCGCTCTCCGCAGTCCTCAGGCTCCCCCCACGGACCTTGTTGAGTAAATCTCGCTCAATATCTTCCCCTTCCTCTCATCTTCCACATCCCCACACTTCAGGCTTGCGTCAGCCTTCCCTCCCCTGGCTGCCTCACTGTCCGCAGCTCTCAGGCTCCCCCTCAATCCTTATTGAGTAAATCTCGGTCAATCTCTTCCCCTTCCTCCCATCTTCCACATCCCCACACATACCAGGCTCGCATCAGCCTTCCCTCCCCTAGCTGCCTCTCTCTCCGCAGCCCTCAGGCTCCCCCTCAGCCTGTCTTTGCAGTGCGATCTCCTGGAGGAGGCGGTGGGGAGTCAAGTGAAGCTGGTGGAGCAGGTGAGGGGTTTTATATTGTGTACATTGCATGCAGGTGTGGTGTGGTGTGGTGTGGGGTGGTGTGGGGTGGATGTGGGTGTGGGTGTGGGTGTGGGTGGGTGTGGGTGCGTGCGTGCAGTCTTAGCGTTCTTCGCGTTCTCACTCACCTCCTCGTTCCTCCAGTGGGGAAGCAGGAAGTAGGCAGCAGCACAGCAGGCAGGAGCAGGCAGGGAGTCAAGCCGACATTCTCTATCCCACACCCTTCTGAGTTGACTCAAAAGTCACCTTGTTACTATGGCACACGATATCTTTTGAGTCGACTCAAAAGCAGCACAGCAGGCAGGAGCAGGCAGGGAGTCAAGCCGACATTTTCTATCCCACACCCTTCAAAGCAAGCATGTTACCTCCTCTCACCGCTGTCAGTCAGTCAGCCAGGTCACACCTACCGCTGTCACATGCCATGCGAGGTGGACTTGTTGTAAAAAACAAGACTTACTTTCCTTTTTGTGTGTTACGTTATTTTGCAGACTCTTGCCGTTACATGCAACGCGAGGCATCAGGTCCAGACTCTGCTTGATCTGCATGCCAGCTTGCGGGTGAGTGAGCTTGACAACGCCAGTTGCTTGCCGTTAACTGACCACTACTGTTCAAAATTGTGCGACTGTTCAGAATTCAAAAACGAGATCTGTTAACTGACCAACACTAGGTGTGTAGTCTCCATGTCATGCGTCTCCTTCCTTGCACTTACTGGGATATTTTCAGCGTTTGTTTTCCTGTGTTATGCTCTATGCCATCGCCATGGCAGGTGTCTCTCAAGAGGCGTCAGATTGTGCTTGTCGCTGCAGTACTGCAAGCTATCAAGGTGATCTAGTCGTTCTACTCTAGTCCTGACATGTGAATCGTGCATTCTGACACCAAAGAAACAAAAACGTTGAGCATGACAGCGCCTTTTTTTTGGGGAGGGGGGGCGGGCGGGGGGGGGGGGGGGGGAGGGGGGGGGGTGGTATTTACTTGTCGTGTGCACTCCCATGGTTGTCCCCCCTTCTGCTTGTAAGATTGTTTCTCCTCATCTTCTTCCCCCCCCCCCTTCCCCTCTCCCCCCTTCTTTCCTCCTCTGTTCTGCACCTGCTCCTCTCACTCACGCTAGCAAGTGGAGGCGGCTCTGGCAGCGTGCCTCCCCTCACTCTCCCTCCACCTACCTCTGTACCAGCAGCACCTGCTGCGACAACTCAACGCAGCCTTGCTGCCTCTTCAGGTGCTTTCAGGCTCTTCTCAGGTGTTTTCCTCAGGTGCTTTTTGTTTCGATACGGGTTTTTGCAGCACTCCAATATCAACAATAGTCTGTGCTGCACGTCCCCTAGCCTCCTCTTGTCTTGATAAAATAGTTTGTGTCTCAACCACTCCCTGGCGCAGTGCAATGCAAAAAAAAATACAGACTGGTACTCACCCCCTGTCGAATCAGTCCATGCCAATTGATATAATAAAAGACTTACAACGCTTACGTCCTCACCCCTCCGAGTACCTCTCTCCCCTCCGAGTACCTCTCTCCCCTCCGAGTACCTCTCTCCCCTCCGAGTACCTCTCTCCCCTCCGAGTACCTCTCTCCCCTCCGAGTACCTCTCTCCCCTCCGAGTACCTCTCTCCCCTCCGAGTACCTCTCTCCCCTGCGAGTACCTCTCTCCCCTCCGAGTACCTCTCTCCCCTCCGAGTACCTCTCTCCCCTCCGAGTACCTCTCTCCCCTCCGAGTACCTCTCTCCCCTCCGAGTACCTCTCTCCCCTCCGAGTACCTCTCTCCCCTCCGAGTACCTCTCTCCCCTGCGAGTACCTCTCTCCCCTCCGAGTACCTCTCTCCCCTCCGAGTACCTCTCTCCCCTCCGAGTACCTCTCTCCCCTCCGAGTACCTCTCTCCCCTGCGAGTACCTCTCTCCCCTGCGAGTACCTCTCTCCCCTCCGAGTACCTCTCTCCCCTCCGAGTACCTCTCTCCCCTGCGAGTACCTCTCTCCCCTCCGAGTACCTCTCTCCCCTCCGAGTACCTCTCTCCCCTCTGAGTACCTCTCTCCCCTCCGAGTACCTCTCTCCCCTCCGAGTACCTCTCTCCCCTCCGAGTACCTCTCTCCCCTCCGAGTACCTCTCTCCCCTGCGAGTACCTCTCTCCCCTGCGAGTACCTCTCTCCCCTCCGAGTACCTCTCTCCCCTGCGAGTACCTCTCTCCCCTGCGAGTACCTCTCTCCCCTCCGAGTACCTCTCTCCCCTCCGAGTACCTCTCTCCCCTGCGAGTACCTCTCTCCCCTCCGAGTACCTCTCTCCCCTCCGAGTACCTCTCTCCCCTGCGAGTACCTCTCTCCCCTCCGAGTACCTCTCTCCCCTCGGAGTACCTCTCTCCCCTCCGAGTACCTCTCTCCCCTCCGAGTACCTCTCTCCCCTCCGAGTACCTCTCTCCCCTCCGAGTACCTCTCTCCCCTCCGAGTACCTCTCTCCCCTCCGAGTACCTCTCTCCCCTCCGAGTACCTCTCTCCCCTCCGAGTACCTCTCTCCCCTCCGAGTACCTCTCTCCCCTCCGAGTACCTCTCTCCCCTCCGAGTACCTCTCTCCCCTCCGAGTACCTCTCTCCCCTCCGAGTACCTCTCTCCCCTCCGAGTACCTCTCTCCCCTCCGAGTACCTCTCTCCCCTCCGAGTACCTCTCTCCCCTGCTTTTCCATTCCATTCCCCTTCGAACTCACCCTTCCAAATCCACTCTTTCTTATTGGAGGGAAGCCCCAAAACCATGTCACCCCTGCTTAAAACCATGTCACCCCTGCTCAAAACCATGTCACCCCTGCTCAAAACCATGTCACCCCTGCTCAAAACCATGTCACCCCTGCTCAAAACCACCAGATGGATCAGCTGGCGAAGCTACCCTGGCCGTCTCCCTTGCAAGCACATCCAACTACAGGAGATGTGGAAGGAGGGAGCGAGGCGATGGGGGGAGGAGGGGGTGGGATGGAGGGCGAGGTAGCAGGCCAGCCCTCATCGTCGTCGGTTGCTACTCTGCTTGCTTCAGCACCCCCACCTGCTGGCTCCCTCTTCCCTTGGAGCAACAGGGGTGAGTGAAGGGCTGCATGGCATGGCAGCCATATTTGAGTTGACTCAAAAGCTGCTTCAGCACCCCCGCCTGCTGGCTCCCTCTTCCCTTGGAGCAACAAGGGTGAGTGAAGGGCTGCATGGCATGCCATGCCAGCCATGTACTTGCCATGCCATACGGGTCACGCACGCACAGCATACGCACCTTGGCATGCATGCCATGCCATGCCGTGCCATGACATATCCTTTGTGGCGAATCAGAACGATTTTTGAGGCGCCTCAAAAACCATGCCGTTTTTGAGGCGCCTCAAAAACCATGCCATGACATATCCTTTGTGGCGAATCAGAACAAGAACGCCTTAGCCATGCTCAGAGGCATTTGGTGCCGCTTATTGTGCTGTTTGTTTTGCCGGTTGTTCTGTTTTTGTGCAATAACACACTGATTCATCAGCCCACATGTGCCGCCACTATGCTGCTGTGCTCCTGCAGCTGCCATGGATACCCACAAGAAGCTCGTCAACTCCATTGCCACTGTAAGCCCCTTGCTTGTCACCTCTTCCTGTCTGCCACCCGTTCCTGTCTCCCCTTCGTGTCACCCGTTCCTGTCTCCCCTTCGTGTCACCCGTTCCTGTCTCCCCTTCGTGTCACCCGTTCCTGTCTCCCCTTCGTGTCACCCGTTCCTGTCTCCCCTTCGTGTCACCCTTTCCTGTCTGTCTCCCCTTCGTGTCACCCCTCTCTATCACCCCTGCCCCACCACCCCACTGCACCCCACCCAACACCCCTGCTGCAAGCATGTCTTCCTGCGAGCTCCCTCCTACTGCCCCACCCCCAACACTGCTCCTGTCCTACTATCTCAAGCCCACGGTCACCACTGCTTTCTTGCCCTTCCACTCCTCACGCCCCATGCCCATCGAGCAGTCCTTATCATTGAATACATTATAGATGGTACGCCCCTTGCCCGTGCCCGCTTCTCTCTCTCTTGTTGCATTTTACACCCCATCTCATAGTCCTGCTGTCACCCCTCTCACCATCCCTACCCTCCAGCTCACCAGCATGCTTCAGCTGACGTGGCATCAGCTGCCATCGGATCGCCTCCTCTCCTTCCTCTCAACTGCTTGTGCCCTCATCCCTCCCCTTGTAAGCACCTACTCCCTCGCTTGTAGTAAGCACCCCTTTCACCCTTTTTACAAGCACATCTATCCTTTGCCCCCACCATTCACTCGTGTCAAACGATTGTACAGGCCCATCCTTGTGCTTGTGCCCTCCTTTTGGCACGAGTGAATGGTGGGCACAAGGATGGCCCATCCTTGTGCTTCAATCTCATCTACTCCGTTTCCTCTCTGCCCCCACAACCCTCCAATCCCAACCCCCCTATCCCCTCTTTTCGATTCGCAGGTCGACCCCATTCCGTCCTGCCAACCCCTGCTCGCTCAACTCCACTTCTCCACACTCCTCCCCTCCCTTTCATCCTCCTCCTCTTCCTCCTCTTCCCCCTCCCCTTCCTCCTCCACCACCACTGCGTGCTTCTTCCTCTCCTCCCGGCCTCATCTCCTCGCCCCTGCGCTTGCTGCTCTCTACTCTCAGCCGCTCATCCAACCCAACTCGCTCCAGTAATTCTCTCTTCCCCCGAGACCCCCCATGTGCTATAGCGTCATGCACCACTGCCACTCTGTGCACCTCCCTGCTTTTGCATTCTGCAACGAGCCTCACTAATCCTACTGAGCTAACCACCCTACCCGTCTCTCACCAATCCTACTGATGTAAACCATTTCGCAGGTACCTGGTAGACGCATTCTTGGATGGGGCTCGGTTGCTTCTGCAGCCGCACACGCAGGAACGGCACGGGAAGCAGTCGAAAGAGCACACGGGGAGAAGAAGCAGCAGCCGGAGCGTCTCGTGGGGCGACATTTACAGTGTGGAGAATCAACTGGAGGCTGCATTGGTTCAGGTGAGTGGGAGTCTTCACAGCCAGAATCATCAAGAAGCCATGCATTGGTTCGGCTGTCAAAGGCGAGCCGCCAAAAGAGTGGCAACTAGGCCATGCATCCTGTCCCAGTCAGTCCTCCAGTCGCTACTTGACTGGCCCTCCCTTTCCCCCTCCCACTTGCCCCACCTCAACCCACCATCCCCTTGGTAGTCCTTCCCCCAGCCGCTCACTCAACAGTCCCTCTCTTTCTCCTCTCCCACTTGCACCACCTCCCCCTGCCATCCTGTCTGCAGTCATTCCTGCGGCCACCTCCCCCTCACTCGAGACGGTCATCGCACACCTCCATCTACATACCATCTCATCCCCTCCTCCCCCATCTCTTCCCCTCCCGCACCACCCTTTCCCCCTCCATCCCAAATGCAGTCATTCCAGTGGCCGCTCACTCGAGACGTCATTGCGGACCTCCATCTGCACGCCATCTCCCACTCCGATTTGAACTCCGCCAATCCGCGCTTCAACCCCCGCAAGGTACAACATGTCATCAGCCCCTTCAACCATCACACGTCTTCAGTCAACTCAAAAGTCACTCCTTGGACCATCACAGATCTCAAATCTTCTTGCAGTCCCCACTCACACTCACTCTCAAGTGGACTTTTTCTTTTAGACTTCCCAGAACCCACTGTTTTCCAAGTTATCTCAAGCCACACTTTCATTTTTATCCTCCAGTTTCCACTGTGGCCCCAACCCCTCACCACCCCTGCAAGCAGACAAGGGTGCGCAACCTGCTGCAGTTCCTGCATCTGCCGCCCATCCGCGTGCTCTCCAGGCGGATTGACATACAAGCTCACGTGGCACAAGCACTGGCAGCCTCCCTCTATAATCACACTGCAGCCACTCCGTATGCTTGGCGCTTGCCAATTTGATACTCGACTATTGGCATATACAATCCTTGATTGCTTCTGTCTCCCCAACCTGCCTCTCCTCTTCCTTGCTTCAATCTTAGCAGTTATTTGCACTGGGGGCTGTCTGGTTTGTTCAAAATCCCTTCACCTTGTGACTCCATAGTCAATCAACCCTTGTGCACATTGGTATTGTTTGGGTCCTTTTCCTCTCTCCCCTGGTGCCGGTTACCATTGCCAGCTAGGCGAGGACGTGAGACAGCTAGCGGCCAGCAAATATCGGCTGCTTCTGCCACCGATTGCCATAGGAGGAGGCCTGGCATTCAGACTCCACAGCGCCCCTACTCCCTCCTCCACCTCCTCTCCCGCGCTTCCCTTCTCACTCTTCCACCCTCCCTCTCTCGCTGCCAATCTCCCGTTCTTCGTCTCTGCGTTCTCTTTCGACCTTTCCACCCTAACCTTCCACCAACGGCCCTCCTCCCTGGCCAGATTCCATGAACCTTCCTCACCCATCCCTTCCACCCGCCATGCTGACTCATCATCACCATTCTCCTCCGCGCACGGGCCTCGGTCGCTCACGCTGCGCCAGCTGTCCGGTCTCCTCCAATCCACGCACGCCATGCTGTTTCTCCAGCACGCCGCCACGTCAGCGTGCAAGCTGATTGCGGGGAAGCTGTCTCACCTGTCTCGGTTGTTCCTGCATGACAGAGCACACTCGCTGCTGCTGCAGTCGATGAAGCAGATACAGCAGAAGCAGCAGCAGCAGCAAATGCAGCAGCAACAAGATCAACAAGAAACTCAAGCTACTGGTCTGGCTCCTGCCAAGAATGCTGGTGCTGCTGGTAAAGGTGGTGCTGGTGGTACTGCTGCGGGTGGTGGTGACAACCCTGCTCCAGCAGCTGCTGCTGGCATGACGTTGACAATGGAGGCGGTAGACGAGCTGAAGAACGTAAGCACTCTAACATTCTTTAGCTTGTCCCTCAGAATGGAGATTGTTGATTCATTCTCACAGGTTCCACTTCAGTTTTTATTATCATTTTTGCATGTGCGTGTGCGTGTGTGCGTGTCTGGGGGTGTGTGTGTGTGTGTGTGTGTGTGTGTGTGTGTGAGAGAGAGAGAGAGAGAGAGAGAGAGAGAGAGAGAGAGAGAGAGAGAGCACGCGTGCGTGCCCGTGCGATGCAGGTGGGTGTTTGCTCATGCATGAATATGTGTGTGTGTGCTTGTGTGCATGCATGCATACGTGTGCGTGTGTGAGCGCATGCATGTGTGTGCGTGTGTGCACACATGCATGTGTGTACGTGTGAGCCTGCACGCATGCACGCATGGAGACATGCACATACAAAAAAATGTGTAGGTGCATTTATCATTGTCCTTTGTCTGAGCTGCCTCTGCTCTACTCCTCTCACCTCCAACAGAAGCTACAAAAATTCTCTCAACATAAAATCCGTGAAGACACCCTTGAAGACACTCTCGAAGAATTGGACCCATCTACATTTTTTGTCTGAGCTGCCTCTGCTCTACTCCTCTCACTTCCAACAGAAGCTCCAGGAGATCTCAGTAGACCCTGACTGGCGCATAGCCAAGCCTGCCCCAGTTAACAACAACCACGATGCATCTGGCACCCCTGCATCATCATCAGCAGCACAAGTGGTTGCAGGGAAGGGGAAAGAGGAAAATCGAGGAAGAGGAGGGGCAGACAAGAGGCCGTGGGGGGAGGTGGTGGTGGAAGAGGTGAGGGAGATGGGCGTGGCTCTTGGGTTTGTGCTGGCTGCTGCTACAGCTGCGTGCCACAGTGCAGAGCACACTCTCAGGTGAGATCAACAGAACGACGTCATGCTCAGGTGATTCCAGAAAAGAAATTGCTTGCTAGAATCGAACTGGATACTGCTGGCTGGAGCACCCTATCTCCAGCATCTCTCTGCAACCCCCTTCATGCTTTCACCTCTTCAAATTCGTGAGAAATTCTGATATAGTGTTGATCCATCCATCAAGCACGCCTGTATTGTAACTCAGCATTCTTCTCCTTCTCCTGTCTCCTCTTTTGCCACGTCTCCCTCTCCCAGCGCCCTTCCCTCACACGCTGCAGAATCACCCCTCCACCTTTTGAGTCGACTCAAAAGCGCTGCAGGATCACCCCTCCACCGCCTCCTCCTCGCATCGCCCCTCTCCCACCAGCCTCTCCTCCTCCTCTCCTCGCTCTCCAATTCCCTCCGTCCAGCCTCACACACTCAACCCGTGCCACTACTTCATCTTCTCGTGAACCTTTTCAGAGGGTGCGTACGCACCCATGTTATTTGTGAACTCAAACTTTGCCTAGCTAGCGGTGCAAACCCACCCCATGCCTCTGGACCGTCTGCTAAAAGAAAAGGCAAGCACCAACCCTACCAGCACCACCAGTGGCTTATTCATTTGCTCGCCTTTCCATCATGCTCTTCCTTGCCCGCCCCCCCACCACCTCCTCCTCCCCAACTCTTTCCCTCTTTCTCTCGCATCCTCCCATCCCTCTCAGGAGCTGCAAGCCTCGCCTCATCGCCCTTTCCTCATGCTCCCTGCCGCCATTCCGCCGCTCTCCTTGATTTTGGCTTCCAAGAAGCAACTAGCGCAGCAGAGGCTGGCAGATGCAGTGGGGGGGGGTGGCAGGGACGGCTGTGTGGGGGGAGGGAGGGGTGGTGGCGGGTCTAGTGGGAGTGAGGGAGGGCGAGGATGGGAGAGGGGAGGAGAGGGCGAGGGGGGAGCATGGGAGGCACAGGATGACGACTGGTTGCCTGATGATGGATTCACGCTGGGAGTGGCTTTTCTTCTCACGGTACGTCTGCTTTTTAGGTGCCTTAAAAATGCAGCATGGGATGAGAGGCGCAGGATGATGACTGGTTGCCTGACGATGGATTCGCGCTGGGAGTGGCCTTTCTGCTCACGGTAAGAAGAAGCATTTCCTGCTCGAGGTTTATTTGTTTATTTTTAGGGGCCTTAAATATCGTCTCATATCTCCGACTGCGAAAGCATTTTCTTGTCATGCAAAAGCCTCTAGCTTGGGTCTCCCTTGGTATTCTCTTAGAATTTGCAGAATCATCCCGCAGTGCACCCCATCTGTGTATCCTCTCCCTGCAGGTGGCCAATCAGCGCCTTGCCTTTGACTCCATATACTGGTTATCTCTCGCCCTGCACCATCTCTCCTTCCAGCGCCAAGCCATGCCCACCAACCCTCCCTCCACTCTCACTCCTGCTGCTGCTGCTGCTGCTGGCGGAGGTGGTGCTGCTGCTGCTGCTACTGCTGCTGGTACTGTTGGTGGTGCTGTGAGTGGCAAGTCAGCAGGCAGAAGAGCAGATGCAGGGGAGGAGGAGGATGATGAGGAGGAGGAGGGAGAGGGCGCTGGGGGTGCCGGAAAAGGGGTGACTTCCCTCTGGTCCTCCTGGTTCGGTGCCACTGCTGCATCTGTTGAAACTGCAGCTTCGCAGCCAGAGCTGTCTCCAGAGCTGACTCACCAGCTTCGGCAGGTTCGTTTGGCTGTACCCTGTCTCACAACAGCCTGACTTCCAACATTGTGTGTTGTTTCTATCATACAGCATTCCAAGCTGACCTCTCGTTTCAACATCTTTAACCCATTTCTATCCCCATTGTCTCTTCTCGTTCTCTCTCACCGTTGTCTCTCCACTGTGTCTCTCCCAATTCTCTCCCCATTCTCTCCCCATTCTCTCCCCATTTCCACTCCTCACGACAGAGGGAGCGAGTGCTGGCAGGCATGGCGGAGCAGCTGAGCCTGATGAACGTGGTTACCATTTCCGCTCTTCGGCTGTTTGACTCCAGACCACACACCACATAGTGACACAGTCTCATCTACCACACACCACATAGTGACACAGTCTCATCTACCACACACCACATAGTGACACAGCCTCATCTACCACACACCACATGGTGACACAGCCTCATCTACCACACACCACATAGTGACACAGCCTCATCTACCACACACCACATGGTGACACAGCCTCATCTACCACACACCACATGGTGACACAGCCTCATCTACCACACACCACATGGTGACACAACCTCATCTACCACACACCACATGGTGACACAGCCTCATCTACCACACACCACATGGTGACACAGCCTCATCTACCACACACCACATAGTGACACAGCCTCATCTACCACACACCACATAGTGACACAGCCTCATCTACCACACACCACATGGTGACACAGCCTCATCTACCACACACCACATAGTGACACAGCCTCATCTACATCACACCACATGGTGACACAGCCTCATCTACCACACACCACATGGTGACACAGCCTCATCTACCACACACCACATGGTGACACAGCCTCATCTACCACACACCACATGGTGACACAGCCTCATCTACCACACACCACATGGTGACACAGCCTCATCTACCACACACCACATAGTGACACAGCCTCATCTACCACACACCACATGGTGACACAGCCTCATCTACCACACACCACATGGTGACACAGCCTCATCTACCACACACCACATAGTGACACAGCCTCATCTACCACACACCACATAGTGACACAGCCTCATCTACCACACACCACATAGTGATACAGCCTCATCTACCACACACCACATAGTGACACAGCCTCATCTACCACACACCACATAGTGACACAGCCTCATCTACCACACACCACATGGTGACACAGCCTCATCTACCACACACCACATGGTGACACAGCCTCATCTACCACACACCACATGGTGACACAGCCTCATCTACCACACACCACATAGTGACACAGCCTCATCTACCACACACCACATAGTGGCACAGCCTCATTTACCACACACCACATGGTGACACAGCCTCATCTACCACACACCACATGGTGACACAGCCTCATCTACCACACACCACATGGTGACACAGCCTCATCTACCACACACCACATAGTGACACAGCCTCATCTACCACACACCACATAGTGACACAGCCTCATCTACCACACACCACATAGTGACACAGCCTCATCTACCACACACCACATAGTGACACAGCCTCATCTACCACACACCACATGGTGACACAGCCTCATCTACCACACACCACATGGTGACATAGCCTCATCTACCACACACCACATAGTGACACAGCCTCATCTACCACACACCACATGGTGACACAGCCTCATCTACCACACATCACATGGTGACACAGCCTCATCTACCACACACCACATGGTGACACAGCCTCATCTACCACACACCACATGGTGACACAGCCTCATCTACCACACACCACATGGTGACACAGCCTCATCTACCACACACCACATAGTGACACAGCCTCATCTACCACACACCACATGGTGACACAGCCTCATCTACCACACACCACATAGTGACACAGCCTCATCTACCACACACCACATAGTGGCACAGCCTCATTTACCACACACCACATGGTGACACAGCCTCATCTACCACACACCACATGGTGACACAGCCTCATCTACCACACACCACATGGTGACACAGCCTCATCTACCACACACCACATAGTGACACAGCCTCATCTACCACACACCACATAGTGACACAGCCTCATCTACCACACACCACATAGTGACACAGCCTCATCTACCACACACCACATAGTGACACAGCCTCATCTACCACACACCACATGGTGACACAGCCTCATCTACCACACACCACATGGTGACATAGCCTCATCTACCACACACCACATAGTGACACAGCCTCATCTACCACACACCACATGGTGACACAGCCTCATCTACCACACATCACATGGTGACACAGCCTCATCTACCACACACCACATGGTGACACAGCCTCATCTACCACACACCACATGGTGACACAGCCTCATCTACCACACACCACATGGTGACACAGCCTCATCTACCACACATCACATGGTGACACAGCCTCATCTACCACACACCACATGGTGACACAGCCTCATCTACCACACACCACATGGTGACACAGCCTCATCTACCACACACCACATGGTGACACAGCCTCATCTACCACACACCACATAGTGACACAGCCTCATCTACCACACACCACATGGTGACACAGCCTCATCTACCACACACCAAATGGTGACACAGCCTCATCTACCACACACCACATGGTGACACAGCCTCATCTACCACACACCACATGGTGACACAGCCTCATCTACCACACACCACATGGTGACACAGCCTCATCTACCACACACCACATAGTGACACAGCCTCATCTACCACACACCACATAGTGACACAGCCTCATCTACCACACACCACATGGTGACACAGCCTCATCTACCACACACCACATAGTGACACAGCCTCATCTACCACACACCACATAGTGACACAGCCTCATCTACCACACACCACATAGTGACACAGCCTCATCTACCACACACCACATGGTGACACAGCCTCATCTACCACACACCACATAGTGACACAGCCTCATCTACCACACACCACATGGTGACACAGCCTCATCTACCACACACCACATGGTGACACAGCCTCATCTACCACACACCACATGGTGACACAGCCTCATCTACCACACACCACATAGTGACACAGCCTCATCTACCACACACCACATGGTGACACAGCCTCATCTACCACACACCACATGGTGACACAGCCTCATCTACCACACACCACATGGTGACACAGCCTCATCTACCACACACCACATGGTGACACAGCCTCATCTACCACACACCACATGGTGACACAGCCTCATCTACCACACACCACATGGTGACACAGCCTCATCTACCACACACCACATGGTGACACAGCCTCATCTACCACACACCACATGGTGACACAGCCTCATCTACCACACACCACATAGTGACACAGCCTCATCTACCACACACCACATAGTGACACAGCCTCATCTACCACACACCACATAGTGACACAGCCTCATCTACCACACACCACATGGTGACACAGCCTCATCTACCACACACCACATGGTGACACAGCCTCATCTACCACACACCACATAGTGACACAGCCTCATCTACCACACACCACATGGTGACACAGCCTCATCTACCACACACCACATAGTGACACAGCCTCATCTACCACACACCACATGGTGACACAGCCTCATCTACCACACACCACATGGTGACACAGCCTCATCTACCACACACCACATAGTGACACAGCCTCATCTACCACACACCACATAGTGACACAGCCTCATCTACCACACACCACATGGTGACACAGCCTCATCTACCACACACCACATAGTGACACAGCCTCATCTACATCACACCACATGGTGACACAGCCTCATCTACCACACACCACATGGTGACACAGCCTCATCTACCACACACCACATGGTGACACAGCCTCATCTACCACACACCACATGGTGACACAGCCTCATCTACCACACACCACATGGTGACACAGCCTCATCTACCACACACCACATAGTGACACAGCCTCATCTACCACACACCACATGGTGACACAGCCTCATCTACCACACACCACATGGTGACACAGCCTCATCTACCACACACCACATAGTGACACAGCCTCATCTACCACACACCACATAGTGACACAGCCTCATCTACCACACACCACATAGTGACACAGCCTCATCTACCACACACCACATAGTGACACAGCCTCATCTACCACACACCACATAGTGATACAGCCTCATCTACCACACACCACATAGTGACACAGCCTCATCTACCACACACCACATAGTGACACAGCCTCATCTACCACACACCACATGGTGACACAGCCTCATCTACCACACACCACATGGTGACACAGCCTCATCTACCACACACCACATAGTGACACAGCCTCATCTACCACACACCACATGGTGACACAGCCTCATCTACCACACACCACATAGTGACACAGCCTCATCTACCACACACCACATGGTGACACAGCCTCATCTACCACACACCACATGGTGACACAGCCTCATCTACCACACACCACATAGTGACACAGCCTCATCTACCACACACCACATGGTGACACAGCCTCATCTACCACACACTTACAGCCTGCTGTGGCGCTGCTTCTGAAAATTCTCAAAAGCGGGGCAGCTGAGCCTGATAAATGTGGTAACCGTTGCTGCTCTTTGGTTGTTTGACTCCAGCTCAGCAGCCACCCTCCACACAGTGACTCCACCTCATCTACCACACACTGACACGCTGCTGTGGTGCTGCAGGAGTTGCTGATAGGTGTTACTGGCTGTATGTTTACTGTATAAAATATATTAATACGGTAATAGTACATGAAAGAAAACACATTTCTGTACAATTTCACTACTGCACGCATTCAATTGCTGGATTTCAGGATCAAAGCCAAGTCGAAAGCATCGACCCGAACCAGCTTCCGCTCCTCTGGGTCCTCAGCTCCAGATCCGCCGTCTTCTGATCTTCCTGTCCCTCCGGACCCGCTTGTCCCAGCGTCATTGCCCTCACGATTCTCTGCTTGGCTCGAACCAGACTCGGCCTCCAAAAGCTCTCTTAGCTGGTCAGCGACTGATGCTCCTCTTGTGCCCTCGTCCAGCCTGCATGTGCCAATACGGGTGGATGGGTGCTTTACGAATTCACGCTTGGAACAGCAAATATAACGGTTACAGTTCGATGGGCGGTTGATTGTTGGTAACTGGTTACACAGCCAGAACAGCAACGCTCGACAGTAAATTCAAGGCACGGGCCCATTGGCGACCACGGGGCAGACAGACCAGGGAGAACAAGTGTGCAGCTTCTGTCAAAATCTGTCAAAATGGGCGATGCAAGAAGCAACCGTTTCGGGTTACGGTTTCGCGTTTCGGGTTCAGCGCACGCACGCACCTGTCAAAGAAGTTTGGGGCAGAAGCAGCATCACCCGAAGCCGATCTCCTGTGCCACGGCCTGTGAGGCACCTCTTGCCCGTGAAGGCCCCTCCTGCTCCACGCCAAGTGCTGCTGCTGCCGGCCCTCCGCTCCCACCATCCGCAGCTGCCGCACTGTCTCTGCATTGCTCTTCCAGCTCCTCCCACCCCTGGAAAACCCAGACGCTTTCTGAGGCGCCTCAGCAGTTGCTGTCGCTGCTGCCCGCAGCTGCCTCGCTGTGTCTGCGCTGCTTCTCCAGCTCCTGCCGCTTCTGTTAGGCCCAGGCCCAGAGCTCTGCTGCTTGCTGCTGTGCGAGCCTGAATCTGCCCCACAACCTCTTACCAAACTTCCGGCATGCATCTGTTGAGAAAGAGAGACGGGGCTCTGCTGCTCGGGGCCAAGCGGGAAGGCCCGTGGAGAGATGATGCGGTTCTGCTGCTGCAGCTGTTCGGAGCTGCCACGGAGTGACAGCTGTAAGGGCGAGTGGTCATCCGGTGATTGAGCGAGGCGCTGACGTGGAGAGATGCGATTGGCGGTGTAGATTCGATTCACATCTTCAGCAGAGGAGGTTCTGCGGTGCTGCTGCTGCTGCCACTGCTGATTCTGCTGCGCTCTCCCTCCTGCTTTTCTCAAGTCTTGGCTCGACGCAGTGAACTCAAAAGCTGCCCTCTTTGTACCAGGAGAGAGGTGGAGAGGACTCCGGGAGGAGGAAGGGCCTCCTCTTCGCCCGCTTAGTCCTGCCACTTGTGCTGCTGCGATTGGTGCTGCTGCATGTGGTGGTGCTGCGGATTGTACTGCAGTGTATGGGTTTCCTGCCATGTTCCTGTCCTTGCTCCACTGCTGCCCCCTGTTGTACTTATCAACAAGGGTGTTGACGGTCTGGTGAAGCGACAGCAGCCCCTTCTGCGAACCGGACACCACCGATTTGCTCAACGTTGTCACCGCTCTGAACCCCGTGTTAGCCGCCATGCTCTTGCTCAGCGACTTGATTCCCGCGTCAACTCGAGCACCCCTGTTGGGGGATTTTAACCCGGATTCGGTGTGAACAGCAGCAAGGGAAGAGGCTGACCCAGGGTCAGTGCTCAGGGATTTCACTGCAGCTGGTGCTGCAGAGGCACGGGAAGAGGCTGATGCCGAGAGGAGCGACGACGGCACAGGGAGGAGCGAAGCAGAAGCGGAGTCAGACTCGTTGAGGGCCAGTCCCCTGTGCCTATCCCCCTGAGCTAATCCTCCGTTCTCATCTTTATCCCCATTTCCTTCCCAATCCACCCCTTCTGCCTTGTGCTCTACTTTATTCAAGAGGTTCGGTGGCCTGGATGACAGGTTCGGCAGTCTGGGTGATAGGTTCGGTGGTCCGGGAGACAGGCTCGGAGAGCTGGGTGAGTGCGGTGGTCTGGGTGACAGGTCTGGTGGCCTAGGTGACAGATTCTGTGATCTGGGGGACAGGTCTGGTGGCAATCTGGGGGACGTGGAGGGAAAACGCTTTGATGGCAATCGGTCGGGCATGCCAAGTGGGGGACGGTGGGAAACCGGGGAGGCGTGTCGCTTGGTGGGTGATGGTTGTTGGAGGGGCAGGTGCAGCTGACTTAACGCCTCTGCTCGCGTCTCCTGGGGGCTGGACGATGCGGTAACCGTTACTGCTGCTCGGTTGAACGATGCGCTGGCATGGTTCCCTCCTTGCTGTTGTGGCGACTCATGGTTCGGTGCTGGCGTGCTGTTGTTTCGGTTTGGGACGAGGTGGGCGGGTGGGGAAGGCAGGCGGGTGGGAACAAGGGGGTGTGAGTGTGGGCCGAGGCAGAGGGCGGATTGAGAAGCTGATATTGGGTGGGGGTTTGGAGGAGAGGAGAGGTGTTGAAATTGGTGTTGCGAGGCAGGGGACAGAGGGGTTTGCGTGGGGGAGTGAGGAAGGAAGTGAGGGTGGGAGTGTGGGGAGATGTTGGAGGGGGAACGAGGGGAGAGTGGGGGAAGGGAGTTAGGAAGAGAGGGAGTGCGGCGGTGTTGCGTTGTTCGTCTGTTGCGGGCCAGCTGGTACTGCCACCTGTCAGTTCGAGGGGAAGTGAGGGCGCTAGAAGACGAAGTATGCTGGCCGAAAGTATCCACAGGGGATCCTGCTGTTGCTGCAACGGCTACAGTGACAGCAGCACCACTAGCAGCACCAACGACAGCAGCAACAGCAGCAGCACCAGTGACTGAAGCACCAGCAGCGGCATGTGTAACAGCAGCACGAGTGACTGGAGCACCAGCAGCAGCAGCACCACTAGCAGGAGCAAGAGCAGGGGTACTAGTGGCAGATGCAGCACCACCCGTGCCAGTTACTGCAGCAGTGGCACCAGCTGCAGAAGCAACACCACCACCACTGGCAGCAAGAACTGCCCAGCTCCATTCACTAGCACTCACCCCCTCGTCCCTTCCATCCCTCCTCTTCTCTCCCTCTCCCTCTGCCCTCCAGGCCTCTACATCAAACCTTACCACCTTTTCTTCTTCCAGGAGCCGTATTGCCTCCAATTCACCCTGCCTCTGCTCAAATGCCCCTGCTCCTCCCTCTTTGTTCCTCCACATATTGACAACACTCGCCCCCTCTGCCTCTCCTTCACATCCTCCTCCTCTCCTTCCTCTCGCAGTTAATTTCCCCTGTCTATGATCAGACATCTCTGCACTTCTCTCGCTTTCAGACAACCTTGGGAGCGTTTTGTATCGGCGCACACGAACCTCCTCGTTGCCCTCGGATTCTGAACCGCTATAAGCATCTGCACTACCGTACAATAGTCTAGCTGCAGCAGAGAGTGTTCGCTGAATGGTAAGTCTCCGGCCACTACCAAACCTCTCGCCTTGGCTGCTGCTCCTGCTGCCGGGCCTGCTTCCGGACCTACTTCCGGGCCTGCTTCCGTTCCTGCTTCCAGACCGACTTCCCGGCCTGCTTCCGTTCCTGCTACCGGGCCTGCTTCCGGGCCTGGTACCGTGCCTACTGCTGGGTCTGCTGTCGCCATCCCCATAAACAACAGCCTCTCCAAGCAATCCTCTCAGTTGCTCATCCTCCTCCCCCTCCCCTTCCTCCTCCTTCTCATCCTCATCCTCCTTGCCATCCTCTCTTATCTCAGACACTCTCATCTCTTTCCCCCGCCTCTTCTCCTTCTCCTTCTCCTTCTCCTTCTCCTCCTTCTCCTTCTCCTTCTCTCGTCTCTCAACTCCTCTCAAAATTGTGCTCTTCCCGAACTCGTCCTCATACTCATCTTCCTCCTCCTCCTCCTCCTCCGCCTCTTCTCCCTCCTCAGCAACTTGTGTCAGGCCTGACCCACCCACAGCAGCGTGAGCGCCACTGCACCCACTGCTGCCGATCCTTCTGCCAATGCTGCTCTGAAGCCCCCCCACTCTTCTACTGCCACCCCCGCCAAAACTACTGCCACTGCAGTCAAAACCACCCCCACCAATTTCACTGTGACCCATCTCTAAACCCCCACTGCTGCTCCCTTTGCAGTGAAGAAGACTGGTTTGAGGCGCCTCAAAACTCTCTCCACTGCTGCAGCTGCTCCTGCGACTGAGAGGAGCAGTTTGACCAAACACAAACAAGTCTTCCCCTCCCAAATGCTCCCCACCCCAGTTGCTACCTCCCTCCCACTCGTGCCCTCTCAATGCCACTCCCGCGGCTGGAGCTGCCCATCCCGATTCGGCACCATGTGGGCCGTCAGATCCTGTGTGCACCGGATGATAATCAAACACGAGCCGTTGGATCTCAGCTTGGTTCTGAGCGTCCTGTAGGCGAGCAGCCTCTCTGCAGCAGGGCAGTGAAAGAAAGAAAGGGAGCGGGGGTTTCAAAAGGTGGGTGCAGGGGGTCGTGTGAATAAGATACGGCGATTTTCAACGGACGGCCGTGATTGAAGAATGGGGTAGTGTGGGTGGAGGGGGTAGTGTGAATAAAATATGGCCGTATTCAAGGGACGGCCGTGTTTGAAGAATGGGGTAGTGTGCATGAAGGACGGCCTCATTTTAGGTGCTTTTTTAGGCGCCTAAAAATCACCTCAATGCTCATGGGCGGAGGGGGTGGTGTGAATAAGATACGGCCATGTTCAAAGGACGGACGTATTCAAAGGACGGACATATTCAAAGGACGGCCGTATTCAAAGGACGGCAGTGTTTGCAGAATGGGGCAGTGTGCATGAAGGACGGCCGCAATAGAAGGACGGGGATTGGTTGGATCACCGTGCATGTTTGGATAGAGCGAGGGGCTTGGCCATACCTGCTGGCTCGGCCATACCTGCTGGCTCGGTAGACGCGGTGGATAAGCAGCAGCACGTAGAGCACGCAGCATCCCAGCGAGACGGTGCCAAAGATGATATACAGCCCGAGGAACTTCTGCATCGACAGCTGCACCGCCGAGTCTGCCTTTTGAGTCGGCACAACAACCAGCTCGTACCTGCTCGCGCGGTAGCCGCGGTGAATGAGCAGCAGCACGTAGAGCACGCAGCAGCCCAGCGAGACCACGCCAAAGATGATATACAGCCCGAGGAACTTCTGCATCGACAGCTGCACTGCCGAGTCTGCCGCAAGCGAGGAGATCCCGGAAGAGGAGGAGGAGGAGATACTGTAGCTGCTGCTGTCGCTGCTGCTGCTGGGTTGGGTGCAGGAGCCGTTGATCCCACTGAAGTGTTGCTCCCGCAGCTGCTGCAGCTTGCCTGACATTGTCATCTGCACTATTGCCTGAGAGATGTCTAGACCCAACTGAGAGCCCTTGGGGAAGGCCTGGGTGGGAGGGACGGGTTGGGTGGGGGGGAGGGAACGGAAGGAGGGGGCAGGGTGGGGATTGGTGATGCCTGTTAAGGAAGACTTCTGGTGCTGCTGCTGTCACTGCTGCTGCTGCTGCTGGGTTGGGTGAAAGAGCCGTTGATCCCACTAAAGTGCTGCTCACGCAGCTGCTGCAGCCGGCCCAACATTGATAGTTGCACTATCACCTGGGAGACGTCAAGACCCAGCTGCGAGCCCTTGGGGAAGGCCTGGGGGGAAGGGGGAAATAGGGAAGGGGCCGAGATTGAGTGGGAACCTTTCTAGTGCATTCAGAATGGCCCAGACAGAATAGGGATCTTCTTGCCTAGACAAGTTGGGGTTCTCTTTGCCTAGACAAGTTGGGGTTCTCTTTGCCTAGACAAGTTGGGATTTAGGATTGGATTAAATGGAAGGGAGTGCTTACAAAGGCGAAGTTAAGGAGGGAGAATGGCTGAGGCGCCAGGGCAACATCACAGAAGTCGAGCGAGAAGAGCTCGAGGTAGGGATTCTCATCCACTATCACCCCCACACGGCCCGAGTTTACATGGCAGAGAGAGAGAGAGAGTGTGCTTACAAACGCAAGGTTCAGCAGCGAGAAGGGCTGAGGCGCGAGGGCGACGTCACAGAAGTCGAGGGAGAAGAGCTCGAGGTACGGGTTCTCATCCACTATCACCCCCACCCGGCCCGAGGTCAGCGCCTCTGCATACTCATCCTCGTTATTGAGTGCCACCAGGCGGTTCTGTATGGGGATGGCAGTCGGGTTGGGTGAGAAAGGATTCGGCGAAATGGGTTTGGGTAGTGTGGAAGGCAGTGCGGTGCGGAGGGGTTGAGTACAACCCCAATGATCATATTGGTTTGGCAGGGTTGGTTGATCCTCCCATGTACAACCCACACCACACAAGCATAGCCTTGCAAAGCCACCTATCCGCCGCCCACCATACTTCTATAATGCCACCATACTTCTTTATTGCCGCCATACTTCTTTATTGCCACCATAATTCTTTATCGCCACCATACTTGTATAACGCCAAAAGTACGGCACCTGGCACTGAAGGGCATACCGCGGGGATGCCCATCTGCTGCAGGTACGCGTTGATGAATGAACCCAGCTGGTAGCCAATGGGGGATGAGGTCGAGGCGGCGGAACCAATGTCCTGGTGGTGGGGCCGTGTGGGATGCGGTGGGATGGGATGAGGCAGGCTTCGAAAGGTCTCAAAACCCATAATGGAATGAGCACGTCATGCAACAGCACATCATGGGATCATGAGCACACGACGGGTGGACTGTGGAGGAATAGAGTCGTATGAGACTGAAAGGCAATCCGGGCTCTCTGAAGGCAAGATAGAAAGGTTATTGCATATAAACTATAACATATGTATATATTATCTACATATATTTATGTATATACATATATGTATATATATATAACAGACTTGTTGGTTTCACCCAAACCACACTATTGAAATGCTGGACCGACTTAGGCACGCACAGTTGGGTTGCGCAAAACTTACCGGGTCGCTTTTCAGAATTAAAAAAAAAAAAAAAAAAAAAAAAAAAAAAAAAAAAAAAAAAAAAAAAAAAAAACGACCTGTAAAAACTGTATCCAACATGTAAAATGACCTTACCATTGCGGAGGGTTTGAGCCGGTCGACTGTGACAATAGACGTGAGGTTCGCCGTGTACATGGTGACTATAAGGTAGCCGATGATGAGAAACACGATGACAAAGAGCCGGGCGAGGGAGGTGCGAACAGGGTACTCTGCCGTGACAATCACGAGTGGGGGCAGTGGCAGTGGATCGAGAGAGATATTTTGAGAATTCTCAAAAGTGGCTTCCAAATGGGGTGCTCTCTGCCGTGACAAATGTGTTTTGAGTCGACTCGAAACACGTGCCGTGACAACAATACCGATGGCAGTGGAGCGAGAGATATAAGAGCAAGAAAGCCATTCGCTTGGTCATCAGAACCACCGAGTCGATGGAATGGTGAGGACTGGGATGGGACACATAAAGACAAGCTGCTTCTGAGCGTCCCTAAGCTGGTTGCGGGTTAACCAAGTCACGCTGTTCCAAGTGCGGAGAGAAGCCACACTACCATGATGGAAGGAGTATACTGTAAGGTTGGCAGGCAAAAGAAACTTCCAAGCACCACCAAATAACTCTGGAAGGAACAACGAGGAGATGTGGATGGGGAAGAGAGACACTGACCCAGGATGGCGTAGAGCGTTTGCAGGCCGAACCTGCAGGTTAAGCCTAGCTTCCCTACTGCTGCTCCCTGAGAATTATGTCTGAAGATCGCGTGGGGAAGAGAGACACTGACCCAGGATGGCGTAGAGCGTTTGCAGGCCGAACCTGCAGGTTAAGCCTAGCTTCCCTACTGCTGCTCCCTGAGAATTATGTCTGAAGATCGCGTGGGGAAGAGAGACACTCACCCAGGATGGCGTAGAGCGTTTGCAGGCCGAACCTGCAGGTTAAGCCTAGCTTCCCTACTGCTGCTCCCTGAGAATTATGTCTGAAGATCGCGTGGGGAAGAGAGACACTCACCCAGGATGGCGTAGAGCGTTTGCAGGCCGAACCTGCAGGTTAAGCCTAGCTTCCCTACTGCTGCTCCCTGAGAATTATGTCTGAAGATCGCGTGGGGAAGAGAGACACTCACCCAGGATGGCGTAGAGCGTTTGCAGGCCGAACCTGCAGGTTAAGCCTAGCTTCCCTACTGCTGCTCCCTGAGAATTATGTCTGAAGATCGCGTGGGGAAGAGAGACACTCACCCAGGATGGCGTAGAGCGTTTGCAGGCCGAACCTGCAGGTTAAGCCTAGCTTCCCTACTGCTGCTCCCTGAGAATTATGTCTGAAGATCGCGTGGGGAAGAGAGACACTCACCCAGGATGGCGTAGAGCGTTTGCAGGCCGAACCTGCAGGTTAAGCCTAGCTTCCCTACTGCTGCTCCCTGAGAATTATGTCTGAAGATCGCGTGGGGAAGAGAGACACTGACCCAGGATGGCGTAGAGCGTTTGCAGGCCGAACCTGCAGGTTAAGCCTAGCTTCCCTACTGCTGCTCCCTGAGAATTATGTCTGAAGATCGCGTGGGGAAGAGAGACACTCACCCAGGATGGCGTAGAGCGTTTGCAGGCCGAACCTGCAGGTTAAGCCTAGCTTCCCTACTGCTGCTCCCTGAGAATTATGTCTGAAGATCGCGTGGGGAAGAGAGACACTCACCCAGGATGGCGTAGAGCGTTTGCAGGCCGAACCTGCAGGTTAAGCCTAGCTTCCCTACTGCTGCTCCCTGAGAATTATGTCTGAAGATCGCGTGGGGAAGAGAGACACTCACCCAGGATGGCGTAGAGCGTTTGCAGGCCGAACCTGCAGGTTAAGCCTAGCTTCCCTACTGCTGCTCCCTGAGAATTATGTCTGAAGATCGCGTGGGGAAGAGAGACACTCACCCAGGATGGCGTAGAGCGTTTGCAGGCCGAACCTGCAGGTTAAGCCTAGCTTCCCTACTGCTGCTCCCTGAGAATTATGTCTGAAGATCGCGTGGGGAAGAGAGACACTCACCCAGGATGGCGTAGAGCGTTTGCAGGCCGAACCTGCAGGTGGTGGGGTAGAGACGCACAGAGAGACACAGAGACGCACAGAGACACACAGAGATCGAAAGAGGTGATGAGCCAAGCCCCACCAGCACGCACACACAGCGCCACTTTTTAGCATTCTCAAGCACGACCGCATCATAGACTGCATTCTGAGGCGCCTCAAAATACACCTCAAGCACGACCGCATCATAGACTGCACAGGCACGGCACGTACCTTTTGAGTCGACTCAAAAGTCACCTCATAGACTGCACAGGCACGGCACGTACCGCATAGCGTTCTGCAGGCGCTGGTGGAGTTTCCCTCTAAAGGCCTCGTTTGCTCCAGGAACGAGGAGGTGATGATTCCCTTCCCGCCAACACACAGTGCGAGTGTGACCCGTAATGTCTCAAAACGGAAACTAATCGTTACAGGTGCACGTACCACGCGGCGTTCTGCAGGCGCTGATGCAGTTTCTCTCGGAAGGCCTCATTAGACTGCTCGTCCAGGAACGAGGTGATGAGCCCTGCTAGCACGCACAGCGCCATTGTCACTCCCCACATGCTCGCTGTGAACGGCTGGAACGCCAGCCAGGGACTTGAATTCTCCTTTGCGTACCCCATTATCCCCAGACCTGATGGCTGGGGATTGGGTCGGAAGGAGGAGGGTGATCCACACGAAGAAGCTGTGGTACAAACCCTAAACTTAAAAAACCTTTGCGAAGAAAAGACTTACTTATAAACACGAGTGTGAAAAGGAGAGTGATTAAATGGGAGAAGGGAAGGAAAGACGGCTTACAAAGATGGGGTATGTGAAGAACACTGCTCTGTTGCGTGTCTCTGTGACTGTGATGTCTCCGATGGCCCCGTCGTATTTCTGCAAGAGAAAGACAATGCGGAGGGTAGCATTCAAGCGGGAAAGAAAAAATCAGAAGAAGAATAAAAGATTAATGAAAACACGGAACGTGGGCAGCAAGTTGGCTGCCTGCCCCTGTCCCATACTGTTCGTCGAGCGTAGGTTTTTGAGGCGCCTAAAAACTGAGACAATTTTTTAGGCGCCGCAAAAACCGTCTTATCTTGGCTGCCTGCCCCTGTCCTATACTGCTCATCAAGGTTAGGGGCCTGGACATGCTACAGCAGCGCTACGCATTGTGCTTGTCTGATTCATCTGGCTACAACCAGCTCCCACCTTGTCTGCCACAGCCAGCACCATCTGGGTGTAGCTGGGGGAGACGTTATCCTTGCCGTACTGCACAAACTCGTACTCGAGCGGGTATGGCAGCATGGCCACAGCTGCTGCTACAGCCAGCACTAGCCTGCACCCACCTTATCTGCTACAGCCAGCACCATCTGGTTGTAGCTGGGGGAGACTTTCTCCTCCCCATACTGCACAAATCATAGTTGACAGGACAGAGTATGGCAGCATGGCCACAGCTGCTGCTACAGCCAGCACCCACCTTGCCTGCTACAGCCGGCACCCACCTTGTCCGCCACAGCCAGCACCATCTGGTTGTAGCTGGGGGAGACGTTCTCCTCGCCATACTGCACAAACTCGTAGTCGAGCGGGTACGGCAGCATGGCCACAGCTGCGTGGAAAACGTCGATGCAGAACCCTGAGAAGCGCTCTTTGCCCTCTCCCTTGGAGATGTTGACAAACTGCTTGTAGACCTGAGGGGGTGGGGTGGGGAGTGCGAGGCAGGTTGGGGGGGTGCGGGGAAGGGGGGGTAGGAAGGGAGATTGGATAGGGAACGGTATGGCTGGCCGCATGGCATGGCCACAGCTGCGTGGAAAACGTCGATGCAGAACCCTGAGAAGCGCTCTTTGTCCTCTCCCTTGGAGATGTTGACAAACTGCTTGTAGACCTGAGAGGGGGGGAAGGGTGGGGAGGGAGGAGGGGAACGAGAGGGAAGTGGAAGGGGCATTGCAGCATGGCCACAGCTGCTCGGAATGCATCGATGCAGAAGCCTGAGAAGCGGCCGTGGCTCTCTCCCTTGGAGATGTTGACTTTTGATACGTCTCAAAACTCTCCCTTGGAGATGTTGACTTTTGATACGTCTCAAACTCTCCCTTGGAGATGTTGACTTTTGATACGTCTCAAAACTCTCCCTTGGAGATGTTGACTTTTGATATGTCTCAAAACTCTCCCTTGGAGATGTTGACAAACTGCTTGTAGACCTGAGGAGAAGGAGTGCGGTGTGGGCTCTCATGCATGGCAATGGCGCATGCATATATCCACATACACACGTACACACATATACGCCATACACGCACACACACGCACCCGCACTCGCACGCGTGCGCATACACGCACACAGAGAATACGCACCACTTTATTTGGAACAGCTAATCGAAGTTTTGTCTTGGGAAATGCGCCTATGGGCACCTGTAAGCATGGCCATTAGGGGGGAGGCGCAGCAAGAGAAGGAATAAGGCGATGGAGACATGAAGCATGTCTTCTGATTGAGCTTGTGTCGACTGTGAATGAGCATGTATCAATCACGTCTAAACGGACATGCATGATTACATTGACTAGTACATGCAGTTGACTCAGACTCACTTGTGTCACCCCACCCGGAAACACTATGTTGAGTGCCTCTTGCTGGTTCTTGGATGGCCGCTGAAACAGGGAAGGAAAGGAGAGCAGGAGAGCAGGAGGGCAGAGGAAGAGAGTGGAGAAGGGGAGTATAGGAGGAGAGGCAAGACGGATGGTTAGACTCGAATAGCAGAAGAAGGAATGGCTGATTTGGACACGGCATGGTTGAGCCCGGCACAGCATGACTGAGCATGGCACGGGCATGATGAGTCTGTTTTTGAGTTGACTCAAAAACATACTCGAATAGCAGAAGAAGGAATGGCTGATTTGGATACGGCATGGTTGAGCATGGCACGGCATGGTTGAGCATGGCACGGCATGGTTGAGCATGGCACGGTATGGTTGAGCATGGCACGGCATGGTTGAGCATGGCACGGCATGGTTGAGTATGGTACGGCATGGTTGAGCATGGCACGGCATGGTTGAGCATGGCACGGCATGGTTGAGCATGGCACGGCATGGTTGAGCATGGCACGGTATGGTTGAGCATGGCACGGCATGGTTGAGCATGGCACGGCATGGTTGAGCATGGCACGGCATGGTTGAGCATGGCACGGCATGGTTGAGCATGGCACGGCATGGTTGAGCACACCACACAATACCACATCACACCACACCTCATCACGCCACACCTCATTGCACTACATCACACCACATTGCACCTTTAGAGAGCGCGTGAGCTGCCAGGCAGGCGTCCAGAGGCCAACCCTCGTGGCCGTAGCGTTCACCACATTGAGCTGAGCACCTCCGTGACATCACAGCACACCAGATCATACCACACCACACCGCACCACATTACACCGCACCGCACTGCAGCACACCTTTAAAGAGCGCGTGAGCTGCCAGGCGGGAGTCCAGAAGCCAACCCTCGTGGCCGTAGCGTTCACCACGTTGAGCACCTCGATGACATCGGCTTGCAGATCACCGTGTGGGTTGAGGGAGACCCTGGGGAGATAGAGCAAGAAAGAGGGTAGAGGGGAAGTGGGAGGGTGGAATTTAAGCAAAGCTCGCTTTCCGGCCACAAAACTTTGCTTTGAGACGTCTCAGAACTCGAGTTGGGTTGGGTCAGGTGGTCCCGTTGCTGTGAGACGTTCCACAACTTCGTTTGAGACGTCTCAAAAACCTAGTTGTGTCGGGTCAGGTGGTCCTGTTGCTCATGCCTGCTTGTACGTCCCCGGTAAGGCCTTCAGCATCTTACCTTCCTGTGAGGCCTTCGAAGGTTGTGTTGAGGATGGCTTGACGGAGTGCCGGGCCCACTGCATGGGAGAGGGAAGGAAGGATTCCGAGCGGGAACAAGCGACGGAGGACAGAAAAAAGGGTAAACAACAAAGAAACAAGAACCCACATGAGAAAAGAAAGAGATTGAGGCGTCTTAGAAGAAAAAAAGAGGAAAAGAGTGAAAAAACCACGAGAAGAGTGAAGGACAGAGGGTGCAGGGGAGGGAGGGAGGTAATAGAGAAGGGAACAATAGATGGAATACAATCAGACGCACAACGGACTGCCCCAACCTATCTAAGTTGCATCACCTGTGCATTGTGCCTCACAAGTAAGCACCCACCTGAGTTTCGCTGCAGGTTCTGCAGCAGCGGAATGAGCCCACCACCCGCCTCGGCCCCTTGCCCTGCCACCGGCAGTATCAAGGCGTTGGTACTCGCGACAGCAGACATTGCAACAAAGTGTGCTCCCGTGCTGCTGCTACTGCCGTTGCTGCTCGTGCTGCCACTGGTGCTGCCGCTGGTGCTGCCGCTGCTGGTGTTACTGCTGGCGGTGGTTCTGTTGTGTTGCAGCAGGGAGTGCAGGGCGAGGGAGATGAGGTAAGCAGCATCGTAGGCTGCAAGGCTGTAGGTCTTAGGGTCCTCTTCAGCTGCCCATGGGAACTGCTGTGGACTCAGCTGCTTCCACCGCTGCTTGAAGGCCAACAGGCGCTGCGATGGCGGGTGATAGGATGCTGTGATTATCAGACCCTGAGCAATGGGGGTTGGGAGGGAGGAGTGGCAGGAAGGAGAAGTGAGGTAGCAGGAGGGGGGGATGAGAAGAGAGGAGGAGAAGAGGGGAGGAGAGGAGAGAAGAGACGAGGAATCGAGTTGTGGGACATCTCAAAGGCGTATGTGTACTCTCCTAATGCACTCTCATGCACCCTCCTGCACCCTCCTGCACCCTCCTGCACCCTCCTGCACCCTCCTGCACCCTCCTGCACCCTCATGCACCCTCATGCACCCTCCTGCACCCTCATGCACCCTCCTGCACCCTCATGCACCCTCATGCACCCTCATGCACCCTCATGCACCCTCATGCACCCTCATGCACCCTCCTGCACCCTCATGCACCCTCATGCACCCTCCTGCACCCTCATGCACCCTCCTGCACCCTCATGCACCCTCATGCACCCTCATGCACCCTCATGCACCCTCATGCACCCTCATGCACCCTCCTGCACCCTCATGCACCCTCATGCACCCTCCTGCACCCTCATGCACCCTCCTGCACCCTCATGCACCCTCATGCACCCTCATGCACCCTCATGCACCCTCATGCACCCTCATGCACCCTCATGCACCCTCATGCACCCTCCTGCACCCTCATGCACCCTCATGCACCCTCCTGCACCCTCATGCACCCTCCTGCACCCTCATGCACCCTCATGCACCCTCCTGCACCCTCATGCACCCTCATGCACCCTCCTGCACCCTCATGCACCCTCATGCACCCTCATGCACCCTCATGCACCCTCATGCACCCTCATGCACCCTCCTGCACCCTCATGCACCCTCATGCACCCTCCTGCACCCTCATGCACCCTCCTGCACCCTCATGCACCCTCATGCACCCTCATGCACCCTCATGCACCCTCATGCACCCTCATGCACCCTCCTGCACCCTCATGCACCCTCATGCACCCTCCTGCACCCTCCTGCACCCTCATGCACCCTCATGCACCCTCATGCACCCTCATGCACCCTCATGCACCCTCATGCACCCTCATGCACCCTCCTGCACCCTCATGCACCCTCATGCACCCTCCTGCACCCTCATGCACCCTCCTGCACCCTCATGCACCCTCATGCACCCTCATGCACCCTCATGCACCCTCATGCACCCTCATGCACCCTCCTGCACCCTCATGCACCCTCATGCACCCTCCTGCACCCTCATGCACCCTCCTGCACCCTCATGCACCCTCATGCACCCTCATGCACCCTCATGCACCCTCATGCACCCTCATGCACCCTCCTGCACCCTCATGCACCCTCATGCACCCTCCTGCACCCTCATGCACCCTCATGCACCCTCCTGCACCCTCATGCACCCTCCTGCACCCTCATGCACCCTCCTGCACCCTCCTGCACCCTCATGCACCCTCATGCACCCTCCTGCACCCTCATGCACCCTCATGCACCCTCCTGCACCCTCATGCACCCTCCTGCACCCTCATGCACCCTCATGCACCCTCATGCACCCTCATGCACCCTCATGCACCCTCATGCACCCTCCTGCACCCTCATGCACCCTCCTGCACCCTCCTGCACCCTCATGCACCCTCATGCACCCTCCTGCACCCTCATGCACCCTCCTGCACCCTCATGCACCCTCCTGCACCCTCCTGCACCCTCATGCACCCTCATGCACCCTCATGCACCCTCATGCACCCTCATGCACCCTCCTGCACCCTCATGCACCCTCATGCACCCTCCTGCACCCTCATGCACCCTCCTGCACCCTCATGCACCCTCATGCACCCTCATGCACCCTCATGCACCCTCATGCACCCTCATGCACCCTCCTGCACCCTCATGCACCCTCATGCACCCTCCTGCACCCTCATGCACCCTCCTGCACCCTCATGCACCCTCATGCACCCTCATGCACCCTCATGCACCCTCATGCACCCTCATGCACCCTCCTGCACCCTCATGCACCCTCATGCACCCTCCTGCACCCTCATGCACCCTCCTGCACCCTCATGCACCCTCCTGCACCCTCCTGCACCCTCATGCACCCTCATGCACCCTCCTGCACCCTCATGCACCCTCATGCACCCTCCTGCACCCTCATGCACCCTCCTGCACCCTCATGCACCCTCATGCACCCTCATGCACCCTCATGCACCCTCATGCACCCTCATGCACCCTCCTGCACCCTCATGCACCCTCCTGCACCCTCCTGCACCCTCATGCACCCTCATGCACCCTCCTGCACCCTCATGCACCCTCCTGCACCCTCATGCACCCTCCTGCACCCTCCTGCACCCTCATGCACCCTCATGCACCCTCATGCACCCTCATGCACCCTCATGCACCCTCATGCACCCTCATGCACCCTCATGCACACTCATGCACCCTCCTGCACCCTCCTGCACCCTCATGCACCCTCATGCACCCTCATGCACCCTCATGCACCCTCATGCACCCTCATGCACCCTCCTGCACCCTCATGCACCCTCATGCACCCTCCTGCACCCTCATGCACCCTCCTGCACCCTCATGCACCCTCATGCACCCTCATGCACCCTCATGCACCCTCATGCACCCTCATGCACCCTCCTGCACCCTCATGCACCCTCATGCACCCTCCTGCACCCTCATGCACCCTCCTGCACCCTCATGCACCCTCCTGCACCCTCCTGCACCCTCATGCACCCTCATGCACCCTCCTGCACCCTCATGCACCCTCATGCACCCTCCTGCACCCTCATGCACCCTCCTGCACCCTCATGCACCCTCATGCACCCTCATGCACCCTCATGCACCCTCATGCACCCTCATGCACCCTCCTGCACCCTCATGCACCCTCCTGCACCCTCCTGCACCCTCATGCACCCTCATGCACCCTCCTGCACCCTCATGCACCCTCCTGCACCCTCATGCACCCTCCTGCACCCTCCTGCACCCTCATGCACCCTCATGCACCCTCATGCACCCTCATGCACCCTCATGCACCCTCCTGCACCCTCATGCACCCTCATGCACCCTCCTGCACCCTCATGCACCCTCCTGCACCCTCATGCACCCTCATGCACCCTCATGCACCCTCATGCACCCTCATGCACCCTCATGCACCCTCCTGCACCCTCATGCACCCTCATGCACCCTCCTGCACCCTCATGCACCCTCCTGCACCCTCATGCACCCTCATGCACCCTCATGCACCCTCATGCACCCTCATGCACCCTCATGCACCCTCCTGCACCCTCATGCACCCTCATGCACCCTCCTGCACCCTCATGCACCCTCCTGCACCCTCATGCACCCTCCTGCACCCTCCTGCACCCTCATGCACCCTCATGCACCCTCCTGCACCCTCATGCACCCTCATGCACCCTCCTGCACCCTCATGCACCCTCCTGCACCCTCATGCACCCTCATGCACCCTCATGCACCCTCATGCACCCTCATGCACCCTCATGCACCCTCCTGCACCCTCATGCACCCTCCTGCACCCTCCTGCACCCTCATGCACCCTCATGCACCCTCCTGCACCCTCATGCACCCTCCTGCACCCTCATGCACCCTCCTGCACCCTCCTGCACCCTCATGCACCCTCATGCACCCTCATGCACCCTCATGCACCCTCATGCACCCTCATGCACCCTCATGCACCCTCATGCACCCTCATGCACCCTCCTGCACCCTCCTGCACCCTCATGCACCCTCATGCACCCTCATGCACCCTCATGCACCCTCATGCACCCTCATGCACCCTCATGCACCCTCATGCACCCTCATGCACCCTCATGCACCCTCCTGCACCCTCATGCACCCTCATGCACCCTCCTGCACCCTCATGCACCCTCCTGCACCCTCATGCACCCTCATGCACCCTCATGCACCCTCATGCACCCTCATGCACCCTCATGCACCCTCCTGCACCCTCATGCACCCTCATGCACCCTCCTGCACCCTCATGCACCCTCCTGCACCCTCATGCACCCTCCTGCACCCTCCTGCACCCTCATGCACCCTCATGCACCCTCCTGCACCCTCATGCACCCTCATGCACCCTCCTGCACCCTCATGCACCCTCCTGCACCCTCATGCACCCTCATGCACCCTCATGCACCCTCATGCACCCTCATGCACCCTCATGCACCCTCCTGCACCCTCATGCACCCTCCTGCACCCTCCTGCACCCTCATGCACCCTCATGCACCCTCCTGCCATGCACCCTCATGCACCCTCCTGCACCCTCATGCACCCTCCTGCACCCTCCTGCACCCTCATGCACCCTCATGCACCCTCATGCACCCTCATGCACCCTCATGCACCCTCATGCACCCTCATGCACCCTCATGCACCCTCATGCACCCTCCTGCACCCTCATGCACCCTCATGCACCCTCATGCACCCTCATGCACCCTCATGCACCCTCATGCACCCTCATGCACCCTCCTGCACCCTCATGCACCCTCCTGCACCCTCATGCACCCTCCTGCACCCTCATGCACCCTCCTGCACCCTCATGCACCCTCATGCACCCTCATGCACCCTCCTGCACCCTCATGCACCCTCATGCACCCTCATGCACCCTCATGCACCCTCATGCACCCTCATGCACCCTCCTGCACCCTCATGCACCCTCATGCACCCTCATGCACCCTCATGCACCCTCATGCACCCTCATGCACCCTCATGCACCCTCATGCACCCTCATGCACCCTCATGCACCCTCCTGCACCCTCATGCACCCTCATGCACCCTCCTGCACCCTCATGCACCCTCATGCACCCTCATGCACCCTCATGCACCCTCATGCACCCTCATGCACCCTCCTGCACCCTCATGCACCCTCATGCACCCTCATGCACCCTCATGCACCCTCCTGCACCCTCATGCACCCTCATGCACCCTCATGCACCCTCATGCACCCTCATGCACCCTCCTGCACCCTCATGCACCCTCCTGCACCCTCATGCACCCTCATGCACCCTCATGCACCCTCATGCACCCTCATGCACCCTCATGCACCCTCATGCACCCTCATGCACCCTCATGCACCCTCATGCACCCTCCTGCACCCTCCTGCACCCTCATGCACCCTCATGCACCCTCATGCACCCTCATGCACCCTCCTGCACCCTCATGCACCCTCATGCACCCTCCTGCACCCTCATGCACCCTCATGCACCCTCATGCACCCTCATGCACCCTCATGCACCCTCATGCACCCTCATGCACCCTCCTGCACCCTCCTGCACCCTCATGCACCCTCATGCACCCTCATGCACCCTCATGCACCCTCATGCACCCTCATGCACCCTCCTGCACCCTCCTGCACCCTCATGCACCCTCATGCACCCTCATGCACCCTCATGCACCCTCATGCACCCTCATGCACCCTCATGCACCCTCCTGCACCCTCCTGCACCCTCATGCACCCTCATGCACCCTCATGCACCCTCATGCACCCTCCTGCACCCTCATGCACCCTCATGCACCCTCATGCACCCTCATGCACCCTCATGCACCCTCATGCACCCTCATGCACCCTCATGCACCCTCCTGCACCCTCCTGCACCCTCATGCACCCTCATGCACCCTCATGCACCCTCATGCACCCTCATGCACCCTCATGCACCCTCATGCACCCTCATGCACCCTCATGCACCCTCCTGCACCCTCATGCACCCTCATGCACCCTCATGCACCCTCCTGCACCCTCATGCACCCTCATGCACCCTCATGCACCCTCATGCACCCTCATGCACCCTCATGCACCCTCATGCACCCTCCTGCACCCTCATGCACCCTCATGCACCCTCATGCACCCTCCTGCACCCTCATGCACCCTCATGCACCCTCATGCACCCTCATGCACCCTCATGCACCCTCCTGCACCCTCATGCACCCTCATGCACCCTCCTGCACCCTCATGCACCCTCATGCACCCTCATGCACCCTCATGCACCCTCATGCACCCTCATGCACCCTCATGCACCCTCATGCACCCTCATGCACCCTCCTGCACCCTCATGCACCCTCATGCACCCTCATGCACCCTCCTGCACCCTCATGCACCCTCATGCACCCTCCTGCACCCTCATGCACCCTCATGCACCCTCATGCACCCTCCTGCACCCTCATGCACCCTCATGCACCCTCATGCACCCTCATGCACCCTCATGCACCCTCCTGCACCCTCATGCACCCTCATGCACCCTCATGCACCCTCATGCACCCTCATGCACCCTCATGCACCCTCATGCACCCTCATGCACCCTCATGCACCCTCCTGCACCCTCATGCACCCTCATGCACCCTCATGCACCCTCATGCACCCTCATGCACCCTCCTGCACCCTCCTGCACCCTCATGCACCCTCCTGCACCCTCATGCACCCTCATGCACCCTCATGCACCCTCATGCACCCTCATGCACCCTCATGCACCCTCATGCACCCTCCTGCACCCTCATGCACCCTCCTGCACCCTCATGCACCCTCATGCACCCTCATGCACCCTCCTGCACCCTCCTGCACCCTCATGCACCCTCATGCACCCTCATGCACCCTCATGCACCCTCATGCACCCTCATGCACCCTCCTGCACCCTCCTGCACCCTCATGCACCCTCATGCACCCTCATGCACCCTCATGCACCCTCATGCACCCTCATGCACCCTCATGCACCCTCCTGCACCCTCATGCACCCTCATGCACCCTCATGCACCCTCATGCACCCTCATGCACCCTCCTGCACCCTCCTGCACCCTCATGCACCCTCATGCACCCTCATGCACCCTCATGCACCCTCCTGCACCCTCATGCACCCTCATGCACCCTCATGCACCCTCATGCACCCTCATGCACCCTCCTGCACCCTCATGCACCCTCATGCACCCTCCTGCACCCTCATGCACCCTCATGCACCCTCATGCACCCTCATGCACCCTCATGCACCCTCCTGCACCCACCTCTGCACTCTGCAGTGTGGAGGTGTTGGCTTGAGCAGCCCCCTCTGATGCGATCCACACGTAGTTCTTCCCTATCATGCCCAGCTTGCTCGCTGGAATAGGGGTGGAGTGAAAGAGGCAAGGCGGGAGGAATATAAATCCCCTCTGATGCGATCCACACGTAGTTCTTCCCTATCATGCCCAGCTTGCTCGCTGGAATAGGGGTGGAGTGAAAGAGGCAAGGCGGGAGGAATATAAATCCCCTCTGATGCGATCCACACGTAGTTCTTCCCTATCATGCCCAGCTTGCTCGCTGCGATAGTGGGAAAGGTGAAAGAGGCAAAGATATGCAGGCGGAATCTGAATTTTGAGACGTCTCAAAACTAGTGGGAAGGGTGAAAGAGGCAAAGATATGCAGGCGGAATCTGAATTGGCTCCCACTTTTTTCCACACGTAGTTTTTTTCGCTATCATGCCCAGCTTGCTTGCTGCGATAGAGGCAACGGTGGGGTTGATTGAAGCAGTCACATATATTAGGTCCGTTATCCTGACCATATGCTACAAGAGGGAAGGGAACTCGGATTTGTTGTTCTGATACTGGCTGGCCCTTCCAAAATGTTACCCACAATGTTCTACAAGTATCGAGTGTACCTGTATCGAGTATGAGAGCAGACATGGTAGAGGAGGCGTGTAGCACATAAACCGAAGAGTCCACTGCCTTGCTGGCAGCGAGGGCCTGTGCCACGTCATCAGCTGTCCACGTGGACTTGACAGGCACCCTCTGGGCAATGTGCACATACGACGCCTTTCAGGTGCATGGGTGGCGGTAGGGGTATGGATAGTGGGAGGAGGAACGGGAAGGAATACGGGAGGAAAGGGGACGAATAAGGCCTCTTGTACCCCAGGCAGCCTCTGAGCGATGTGTACATCCGACGCCTTTCAGGTGTATGAGTAGGGGGTAGGGAAATGATAGGGTGGCTGGAGGGTGAACGGTGGCTGGGGGGTGAACGGGTAGGGGGAGGGGAGCAACTGCGATCAAGTGTGAATGAGTGTGAGTGTGAGTGGATGGTGATCAAGCGACTGTGCAAGTGAGCGTGCTGGTGTGTGAGTGAGCACCTTTGTTTCGAGGAGGTAGGTCATGAGTGCGGTGATGCCGTTGCGGCCAAAGCGGTTGTCCGTGTAGACTGCCACGAACTGCCTCCACTTGTAGCGCAGCAGCAGCGCTGCCACCATGAAGCAGGAGAGAGAAAACAGGGGTCACCGCCAGCACATCTGCATACACCACCTCATCTGCATACACCACCTCATCTGCATACACCACCTCATCTGCATACACCACCTCATCTGCATACACCACCTCATCTGCATACACCACCTCATCTGCATACACCACCTCATCTGCATACACCACCTCATCTGCATACACCACCTCATCTGCATACACCACCTCATCTGCATACACCACCTCATCTGCATACACCACCTCATCTGCATACACCACCTCATCTGCATACACCACCTCATCTGCATACACCACCTCATCTGCATACACCACCTCATCTGCATACACCACCTCATCTGCATACACCACCTCATCTGCATACACCACCTCATCTGCATACACCACCTCATCTGCATACACCCCCTCATCTGCATACACCACCTCATCTGCATACACCACCTCATCTGCATACACCACCTCATCTGCATACACCACCTCATCTGCATACACCCCCTCATCTGCATACACCCCCTCATCTGCATACACCACCTCATCTGCATACACCACCTCATCTGCATACACCACCTCATCTGCATACACCCCCTCATCTGCATACACCACCTCATCTGCATACACCACCTCATCTGCATACACCACCTCATCTGCATACACCCCCTCATCTGCATACACCACCTCATCTACACACATCACATTGCCTCATCTACACAGCAAGGGGATCACCAGATCTTACCGGCTATAGCTTGCATGTCGACGCCATCGTTGGGAATGGTCCGCATGAAGAATGGCCGAGCAAGCATCCCCCACTGTACCTAATTGCACACCACCGTACCTGCATGCCTCGCCTTTGTCTTACCGGCTATGGCTGTCTTACCGGCTATGGCTTGCATGTCGACTCCGTCGTTAGGGATGGTCCGCATGAAGAATGGCCGAGCACCCCCCACCGTCAGCTGCACGTCTGTTGCTGCTGCAGACACCAAGGGGGTCTGTGGGGTGGGGAGTCACCAGTGGGAGCAAGGATGGGGTGTTTTAAGGCGACCGGGTGACGTACGGCTGAGCACCCTCCACTGTAAGTTGCACGTCTGTTGCTAAGGCTACGTTTAAGATGGACGGGTGAAAGCACGGTGTGGTGATAGAGTGATGGTGAAAGGATGGGATGAGGTGGATAGAATGAGGCGATAGAATCAGACTCATATAGTGTTGGTGGGGCTGATTATTTTCCAGGAGCCTCGAAAAAAACTCGCAATCTGCATGAGGCGCCGTTACAACAACAACAAAGTCGCCTAGCTTGTGTACGTACCTGAGTGGCAGTGGCAAGTGGGCTGATGAGAGCTGCCTGGTCAGGCGTCTTCGGGCCTAAGATTGGCACGCCACTGGCTGCTCTGCTGCTGCACTGAGGTGACTTTTGAGTCGACTCAAAGGTCAAAACCCTTCTCTGTTGACGTTTGAGGCGCCTAGCTTTGCGTCCAGCTAGTGTGCTTACATGGGTGGCAGTGGCAAGTGGACTGATGAGAGCTGCTTGGTCGGACGTCCCCGGGCCTATGATTGCCACTGGCCGCTGCTGCACTGTTGCCATGGCTGCAGGGGCAGAGGGGGAGGAACGGGAAGGGGAGGAGGGGGAAAATCCTGGAGAGTGGTAAGAGTGATGACGGATAATGTGGTGGATCTGATGTGGGTGATGTGGCAGAAGTGGCAGAAGCAGTCGATGTGGTAGACGTGGCTGATGTGGCTGAGCTGATGTGACTGATGTGGCTGATGTGGCTGATGTGGCAGGTGTGGCAGGTGTGGCTCCTGTGGCTTCAAAGGCGGTGCAAGAGCAAGAGGAGTGGTGAGGAGAGAAAGCGGTGGAGAAACGCGAGTTGGAGCAAGTACAAGGGAGGAGAGGGATTGGCTAGGGCTAGCTGCGAGTTGATTCTTCCGTTGAAAGAGACGGGCTGCTGCCACGTCAGCACTTGCGGCCCACCTGCCAGCTGGCTGAGCATGGATGGCGTGCTGGCGCTGATGTTGCCGGTGATCAGGCGGATGCGCTGACGTGGCAGGATGGTGGGGTCGCTGTTGACGTCAGCAACTGCCATGGTGATTGCTGGATAGGCGGAATGAGCGGGCGAGTGGGAGGGGATAAGGGGCAAGCGAGCGGACAGATTGCAAGCGAGGGGGTGACTTTTGAGTTGACCTAAAAGTCATGGTGATTGCTTTGCTGGACAGGCGGACCAGGAGGGTTAGTGGGAGGGGATAAGGGGCACGTGAGGGGATGGGGGGAGAAGTCACGGGATGGGGGGCACGCGGGAGGGGATGGGGGTTGAGTGGAGGGGGATGGAGGACAGGGGGAAAGGATGCGGGACGCGGGGGAGGGGATGGGCGCATGCGGGAGGGGCAGACAGGGTGGGAGAAGGCAGCGACGAAGGTTGATGGGACGGGGAGAAGAAGATGGAGGGGTAGGGAGTGGTGGGGAGGGGTTGTGTGCAATCATCATCACCATCACCACCATCACCATCACCACCCTAATCACCTGCCAGCATGTTCAATCCGTCTTGCGAGTAGGTGGGAATCAGACAGCCCAACGTCACCTCCTCCCTCCCATCCACCCCCTCTTCCTGCACCCCGCGAATCTCGCCGCGAGTCGCGCCGCGCTCCCCGCCGTGCTCCGCACCCGTACTTCCGACTACACTGTTGGGCCCGCCGCCACTTGCGCTGGCAGCTTTCCAAGAAAGGAGTCTTTTCGTCTCTATTCGCGGTTCCGATTCTCGCGGTCCGACCTCTCGAAGCATAAGGTCACGTGAGGCCTGCGCCTGGTCTTTCGAAATACCCTTTTGCGGAATCGTGTCGGCGCGCGGAATCGAGACGGCGCTCGGTATCACCACCGCGCGCACACCGCTGGTCGCCGCGGCGAGTGCGGATCCACCAGTAGTACTTCTCCTAACAATACCGGCGCGCAGCGGCGCGCCATGATCCGCGGAACCTTGCGGAGAGTCGCGGAGGGCGGAGGATAAGGGCGGCGCGGATCCGCCGCCGGGTACGTGATAATAGCGGTGGTCAGAGTCCCCCGCAGGGGTGCTTGACGAATCCGACCGTGATAATAGCGGGGGTAAGAGTAAGACCGCGAGAAGCAGCGTGATTTGCGGCCGACAGAGACGGGGATGGAAGGGCAAGCGGGAATGCGCAAAAGGTTTCGCTTTACGCGCCTCGAAAGTCGGAAATGGGAGCTTTTCTGTCACGTGGCGCGGGGAGGGGGAGGAGGCCGCCAGGCGTGCCTCCCCTGGCGGTCTGTGCGGCTCCGGCCGAGGTATAGCATACGCAGGCTCTATATTATGCGGATGATCCCAATGGCGGGGCCGCGGGCGAGGTCTATAGTGCGTGAAATCAAGTCTATGATTCAGCCGCCGGCGGGACTCCTCATTGTTCGGTGGGGTATCGGTGGATGGCACACAATGGCGACGTGCGGACATGAGAGAGGGGGAAGAGCGGAAGGCGACGATGACGACGACGACAACTTGTCGTGACAAAAGTTGAAGACAACGATGACGATCGGACAACGGAGGTCCAGCTTAGAAGAGAGAATCGCAGAGGCGGACGGATGGGAGAGCGACGACGACGCCAGAGTCCCGCTTTCGGAACCTTGGCAATAAAACCACACAAAGGTTTCGGTTCAGCTTCTGTTATCTGGAACTTTGTTTCGACCAGACAACTTTGGCTGAGAGGACCGTAGTAGTTTGTAGCAGTGTGGTGGAGACTTGACAGAAACGCAGTCACGGAGCAAGATGGACGGATGAATGGTGAAGGCCGATATTGACGGATGGTCCAAAATTCGTCTGGCATACCTCATTTGGTCATGTTGATGTTGGTCCACCGACACGTACTTTGTTAGATGCTCTTTCATCGACATGGTGACCCATGTCGTCATGTCACATCTTTACATGATTCTGTTTCTCTCCTGTATTGTACTCGGAAGGAAGAAACCCACACCACCTTTGTCGTGTCAATTCTGAACTAGAACGACAAAGCAGTGCTCTGTGCGAGATTCGCAGAGCAGTAGACTGTGTAACCGACCCATGTAGTTATTCGTGAAGAATCTGAAGGACCTCAGGGCGATCAACTACAGTAAGTACGACTGCACCTACAGAAACAACTGTAGCTTTGTTTTTGTGCGTGCAGCTCCGCACCCCACGTTGACGTGACACACTTGTGTATGGGGATTGTCCCACAGGTTGCCACAGACCAACTGCAATGACAGAACCACGACCTTATGATCAAGCACTTCATGTACACACAGTCCTCGCCAATTTCACGCCCCGTCAGTTCTTACTTAAAACCAAACTGACCTTATTTGGCTATAGGGGGTAAGACACCCCCGAACTAGAGGCTATCCGAGGCATTGTGACGTTTCGATGTTTGCCCCTTCTGACGTTGAGACCGCAACGCAAGGACTGAATCTTCCACTGCGACCATGTTTCTTTTGTTTCTCCACTAACTCATGTGCGTAGTCCCAGTCGTTGCTTTCCTTAAAGCCAAAGTGTTTGAAACAACCCTCAAACTCGGGTAAATTTAAAACGAATACACAGGGGGGTGAAATTGGCCATAGTGAAGTTGGCGAGGACTTGGTGTAACCCTACCGCACCCCTTAGGTGCACTGCACATCACTTGGAAATGGATCCTTGCACAGATCATGGATTCCTCCGTGGCATTTCGCTGAAGTCGTTGTCCTTTTCAGCTTTCGCGAAAACTTTCTCCTCCTTGCTGGCTTTCGCGAAGTACACACAGTCCTCGCCAATTTCACGCCCCGTCAGTTCTTACTTAAAGCCAAACTGACCTTATTTGGCTATAGGGGGTAAGACACCCCCGAACTAGAGGCTATCCGAGGCATTGTGACGTTTCGATGTTTGCCCCTTCTGACGTTGAGACCGCAACGCAAGGACTGAATCTTCCACTGTGACCATGTTTCTTTTGTTTTTCCACTAACTCATGTGCGTAGTCCCAGTCGTTGCTTTCCTTAAAGCCAAAGTGTTTGAAACAACCCTCAAACTTGGGTAAATTTAAAATGAATACACAGGGGGGTGAAATTGGCCATAGTGAAGTTGGCGAGGACTTGGTGTATATTGATTGATCTTTCCATCACGCGTGACTCGCGGCATTCCCATGTCCATTGTCCTTTCAGAAAAACCACCTGTTGCCTTCCGTTGCATCACCAAGAAGAGGAAAGCGACAACTGAACGGAAGGCAACAGGCGGAGGGGGAGGGAATGACAGCAGGCGCTGGACCAGCAATTAGCCAAGCCAACACTGCAACCACAAAGCGACTGCTGCAAATGGCACTCACATCAGACTGGTGTCATTACCCTAAGGACGCGTTGAAAGTGTTGGGAACAAACAATCTTAAGCGCCTCTGTCGTGTCGAAACACCAAGGCACAAGCGAAGCAGAGCATATCGAGGCACCAGCGAGTCAACCCTCGGAGGTTGAAGTAACCGCTGGAGGTTACGCGAAAGTCAAAGGTCAGCGACCTTTGACTTGACAAATGCAGCGCGACAGCAAGGACACACAACTGACTCGACATTGAGCAGTTGCCCGAGTCGCACTGTATCGAACCGCAACAGTAAAACAGTTTAATTATATCTCTTCGTATTCTTTGTACTCTTATATAAACCTTTGTACTTGCTTGTTTTAATTAACTTACTTTGCCCTCACATACCAGCGCAAGGTGGTTCAAGGACTTCATTTAAACGCTTCCGCTACTACATCACTCTACCCAGAGTTTAACCCTACCAAAGATCCTAAGGGGCACTCAGCCCAACAGAAAGTGCAAATATCGCAGGGCCGTCTGCATATATCGATCCCCACAATCGAGTGGGGAGATCGTTTGGCGAAATGTGGCGACCGCGACGTTGTAACGATCGCGGCTTAAAGCCCGCGGCCCAAATTGCGGGCCGCGCGGGTCAAGCTTTTAAAACTTGACGAACTAGTGTTTGCAAGGTTTTAAAAAAAGCGCGCCTGCAATTTGGGACTTTCGGGGACTGAACCAACTCCCAGGGCGAAATAACCGAAATCGATAACGTTCGCCAAACCCCAGACCAGAAAAACCCCCTCGTGTCAAGCTTTTAAAAGTTGTGCAATTTGGGCTGCCGGCTTTAAAATTGACAGATTTCCCGCGAACAGTGATCAGTCGCATTCTCACACTGCACAGAAATTTTGGCCAGAAAGCGTACTGTTGCATAGTTACAGAAAAGTTAATAGGGTAACCGACCCGTACATCGATCGCTACTGACGATCGATCGTCTACTTTAACCGCGTCCTAAACAATTTCACGTACGGTACGGTGTGGCAACATTTGCTCTAAACCTACGGTACATGAAGAAACCACACCTGCAGGGAAAAAGAAAGGGAAGGAAAAGGAACACAAACACACGTGCATGAACTTATCTGAATGTTCCAAGAAAGAAACAGAAAGGCTGGATATTGATTTCATCTCAAAATCTTTTTTTTTTAATTCCTGTTATCTCACCTCAATAAAACTCAGCAGCTCTGGACCGGAACATCTTTGTTGATAAGCGAAGGAGCCGATGCTCACTTCAGCTGCAGCAAGGAACTGTCATCTCCAGAATCGCTGTCCTCATATATACCAAAGTCAACGTCGTCGTCGTCGTCATCAATGTCAACAAAATTCCGCCCACTGAATTGACCTGGAGCTGGCAATTGCCGAGACGGCAGCACTTTAATCACCTGCCCTTGCTTCTGCACCTGCTTGCTCGATCTCAACACAGAAACCAGCTTATTAGAAGATGACGCTGCCGGTGCTGCTCCTGGCCCTGCTTGAGGACCCAAGTCAGGTACAGATCCGGACCTGACCACCGGCCTGGCCCCTGGCCTGTCTCCAGCTCTGGGGGTACCAGCTGTCATACTACCTGTTAACCTAGCTTCTCTCAATTTTTTCCCTGCACGGCGGCCTATCGGGACATGAGGGAGTGCGTGGGGAGTAGTGCTTCCAAAACTGCTGCCGCCAATGGCAATGCCATCTGCTGCTGGCTGGTCTTCAGAGGCCATGTCAGAGAGAGAGGTGGCGGAGGCAGACGCGGTGATTCCAGAGGCAGAGGCGGTGATAGCAGGGGCAGATGCACGTGCGTGGCGCTCCTTGCTCCACTCTTGACCCTGTGGGGGGAGGTGGTGAGGTTGAACAGGGGATTTCAGGTTTTGAGTCGACAGGGAGCGATTCTTGGGTCGACTTAAGGAAGAGGAGGTGAGAGCAGAGGCAGCAGAGCTTGCATGGTGTTCCTTGCTCCACTCAAAGAAGGACAGGAAGGACAGGAGGGATGCTGCAAGTGAAGAGGTTGGGGGCTTTTGTGGGCGTTGAGAATCTGCTTGGGGCGTAAAAAAAAAAGAAAGCACACAGAAAAAAAACAAACCCAACGATGAAGGGAGTGAACGAGGCACATTCTGGAAGCGATCGACGGCGTTGCCCACTCGCTTACGCAGAGAGATCACTGCAACAAAGTTCGGTCGGTCTACGCCGCCACCAACTGACCGAGTGTGCTGCTGAGGTGTTCAAATTGAATGAGAACAAACAGAAACTATTGGGGTAGAGGGTGAGGGAGGTACCTTTTGAAAGCGGTCGACGAGGTTGCCGACTCGCTTATGCAGCGAAGCCACTGCTACGAAGCTCGCTGCCACCTTCATTCCGGGCCTGCTTGACTGCCGCTGCGCTTTCTTAGACTTCTCAAAGCCCGCTGCCTCTTTGACATCGGACCTGCTGGCCTGCCCCTGTGCTGCACCCTGCTCAGCAGCAGCAGCAGATGGTACTGTTGTTGCATGTGCTATTGGTGATGCTGGTGTTGCTTCTGCCTCTTCTGCCGCTGATTCTGGGGATATTGGTGATGCTGCTGCAATTGCCGATGCTCCCCGTGTTAATGGTGATACTGGTGACAGTGCTGTTGCTGCTGCTGATCCCATCGCTATCGCTGCTGCTGCTGCTGCGCCGTCAACCCCTGCTTCAACACCCTCTGCCCGAGCACGCCCCTTGGGTGTTGCCGGCATCACGAGTTTTACCCCCTTCCCACCACCCCCACCATTTCCGTCATCAGCATGGTCACCCTTCAGATGGGCAGAGTATAAGTTATCCCCATCGTCGTCTTCATCTTCATCTTCATCCTCATCCTCCTCTTCATCTCCAAGCTCCTCTATAAGATCTAGCGAGTCAAGCTTGAAGGACGCAGCAGGAGCAAGCGCCACGTGTGCAGGCTGATTTTCAGGCTGATCCGCAGGCTGATTCGCTGGCTGATTTGCTGGAACGAATTCCACCATGTCGGTGTTGTATGACTTGGCTTGCTGCCGTGACAGCTCCCTACAACAGCACACAGAGGGGGGAAAGCAGCACACAGAGGGGGGAAAGCAGCACACAGAGGGGGGAAAGCAGCACACAGAGGGGGGAAAGCAGCACACAGAGGGTTTGAAGCAGAGTGTGAGAGCAATTTGAGCTGCCTAACAACTAAAATTGGCTTGTTGACGTGACAGCTCCCTACAACAGGACACAGAGGGGCCAAAGCAGAGTGCGGAAAACAAGTCTGAATCACCCAGAGGGGCATGCAAGGACATCAGTTTCCCACCCCCATCCCCATCCGCACTCGCACCTCCACCTCCACCGCCATCCCCGACCCCAACCCCAACCCCACCCCTTGCTCACTTAGCCACCATGGAAACGCGGAACACCAGCAGGTCCACATAGAGCAGACAGCACGCGACCGACACCACTCCCACTCCCTCCCACTCCAATCCCCATCCCCAACCCTTACCCCCACCCCTTGCTCACCTCGCAACCATGGCGCCGCGGAACACCAGCAGTCCCACATACAGCAGGCAGCACGCGAGGGACACCACGGCATACCCCACAAACAGCCCCCACTCCCCACTCCCCACTCCCCATCCCCAACCCCAGCCACTCCCAACTCCCCCTCACCTCGCAACCATGGCGCCGCGGAACACCAGCAGCCCGACATACAGCAGGCAGCACGCGAGGGACACCACGGCATACCCCACAAACAGCCCCCAGAAGTTCTCATTGGCCAGCACCGCGGGTGCCTCGGGCATGAGTGTGTCGGGACATAGCCTGGTGCCTCCCAGCAGGTAGTCCTGCTGCAGCTGGTCCAGCTCGCCTGTCATGGTCAGGTGGAGAATCGCCGCTGAGATGTCTCTGCGCAGCTGGGATCCCTTCTGGAACGCCTGGGAGGGGGGGAATGGTGGATGCAGGGAGGGGGGGTTTGGTGGGGAGGGGACGAGGGAGGAGGAGGGGTTTGGTAAGGGTCCTCGTCCACCACCACCCTTGCCCTCCCAGATGCCACTCCCACAAGCCTTCGTCACACTCTCGCTCTCACACACTCATTCTCACTCACTCTCATACTCTCTGGCTCATTCACTCTCTCACACACTTGCACATGCCATGCTGCGGAAGGAGTAGGGCTGTTTGACTTGCACCATGCTGCAGTGATTCGCTCTCAGCAGCCCCAAATACGGATCTTCATCCACCACCACCCGCACATTCACACACTCACTCACCTACACTCCCACTCCCTTTCACTCAAACACTCTCAGGCACCCTCAATCCCACAATCTCACTCACGAATGACATGCTGAGGAAGGAGTAAGGTTGTTTGACTTGCGCCATGCTGCAGTGGTTTGCTCGCAGCAGGTCCAAATACGGATCCTCATCCACCACCACCTTCACCCTCCCAGTCACCAGCGCACTGTTATACTCCTCTGCACTGTTGAGCGGTACCATGTTGTGCTGTAAGGAGTACAGATACAGGGAGGGGGCGTGGAACAGAAGGGCAGGCAAGTAAGCAATTGAGGCACCTAAGAAGTGCTCCTCTGTGATGCTAAACGGTACCAGGATGTGCTATAAAGGATACAGAGCGGAGGCGTGGGAGAGAGAAGAGAGGAGGGACATGAGCCACCTTACCTTAAGCACGCCCAGCTGCGTGAGATAGCCTTCAAGGAAGGAGCCTGCCTAGTGAGCGATGGGGTTGTTTTGAGTGCCGTTTGAGGCGATGAACGACCTGAAGATGCCTTTTTACCCTTGCCTGTGGTTGTCCACACTACACTGTACCCAATGGCAGCAGTGGATAGCCCTTGCCCTTCGTACCTTCTGCACGCCCAGCTGCGTGAGATAGCCTTCGATGAATGAGCCCGCCTGGTAAGCAATCGGGTTGTTGGCATTGATCACACTGTTGACGTCCAGCGAGGGCACTGTGAGCATGTTGACCGTGATTATAGACGTCATGTTGGCTGTGAACGACGTGACTACAACGAAGGTCACCAGCAGCCAGAGCGCCAGCACGATCCTCGCAATCAATGTCCGCACCGGCTTCTCTGGGAGACGGAACAACAATAGGGGGAAAAAGGGGTGTGCGTTTGAGACGGGAGATGAGCATGAGAAGGTTTACAGCAGGAGATGGGAGAGTTACGGCAGGAGATGGGAGAGGTACGGCAGGAGATGGGAGAGTTACGGCAGGAGATGGTAGAGGTACGGCAGGAGATGGGAGAGGTACGGCAGGAGATGGGAGAGGTACGGCAGGAGATGGGAGAGTTACGGCAGGAGATGGGAGAGGTACGGCAGGAGATGGGAGAGTTACGGCAGGAGATGGGAGAGGTACGGCAGGAGATGGGAGAGGTACGGCAGGAGATGGGAGAGGTACGGCAGGAGCCCGATATGAAGTTATCACAAGACTTGAGTGTAGCTGGAGCGGACAGAGTGAGGGTGCGAGTGAGGGTGAGGTGAGAGTGAGGGTGGGAGTGAGGGTGGCGGAGAGGAGGGACGAGTTGGAGCAATAGAGGTCGTACAAAGGAAGGAGAAGATAGAGAGGAATATTAAGATCACGCTTGAAATTTCTCAAAAGTGGAGCAATAAAATGGAGGTCGTACGTACCGAGAAAGGAGAAGATAGAGAGGTAGCCAAACCTGTGTGGGGGGGAGGGATGAGAGGGACACAACAGGAGAAACACAAGAGGGACCGATTGGCAGGGGAAACACAGAGAGGGGCGGATTGGCACAAAAACTCTGGGTTCCCCTGGCGCAGCTTCCCTTGGAACTCTGCGTTCTGGTCTGATTCTACTTCATGCGTCAACCCAGCATGACCAACCCACCAGAGCGCGTGCAGCAGCAGATCCTGCAGCTTCCCTTGGATTGGAACTCCCAGTTCTGGTTTGATTCTACTCATCCTACACGGGGCGCCTACCCACCCATTATCAGCCAATGAAGCAAGAAGAGAGAGCGGGGACCCACCAGAGCGCGTGCTGCAGCAACTCGTGCAGCTTCCCTTGGAACTCCCAGTTCTGGCGGCACTCGAGAAACACCGTGATGAGCCCCGTGGCGAAAGTCATGCCGAGAAACGCCGCCCACATGGAGGGCGTGAAGGGCGCGAGTGCCATCCACCAGCTGCTGGAGGGCGGCACGTACGCGATCACACTCACTGCTGATGCCTGGGAGGGATGGAGAGGGGTGGAGCGGGATTGGAGAGGGAGAAAGAGGCGTTGAACGGGGTTCAAGGTGGTTGGAGGAGAGACAAGGATGGGAGTGAAGTGAAGGGCGCGAGTGCCACCCCACCCACCAGCTGCTGGAGGGCGGCACATACGCGATCACACTCACTGCTGATGCCTGGGAGGGATGGAGAAGGATTGGGAAGGGTTAAGAAGAGTTTGGAGTGGGGTGAAGCGGGGTGGAAAGGGGTGAAGGGGAGTACTAAGAGCCAATGCGTTACTAGATATTATGTTCGGTACAAAGTGTAAGTGCTTTCCTAAGCCCTATGATAACAAGAGTGCATGAACATGGCAGCATGAGCAATGCACCGTGTAGGGCTGTGAGAAATAAAGACGAGAGCGTGAGCAATGCACCATGAAGGGCTGTGTGAAATAAAGATCACGGCGTGAGCAACGCACCATGAAGGGCTGTGTGAAATCCACAAGTTTGCTCCGCGCCTGCGTCACAGAGATGTCGCCAATGGCCCCGTCAAACTTCTGCCACCCACAATGCAGATGCAGCAAACCAGGTGTGTGTGAGCGGTGAGCCGGATTTATGTGAGCGGCGCACAGAAAGACAGTTGTGTTCATGTATACACACAAAAGTTAGACCTAAGTGAATGGATCAACTAAATTGCAGCCACATAAAACCGACATAAAAGAGTTACCGCCGTTACCACTGTGCGTCAGTCACACACAATTCTTCCACCGCCTTTGAGAACCCTCCAAAGCATCACAAAAAGCAACCCTAAACCTGCCATTACCTCGTCAGCCACTGCCTGGAGCATGTCGTCGTATCCCACCGCAGCATCAGCACCGCCACCGTCGTCCCCTACAAACGGCACGAGCTCATAGTCCGCCTTGTACGGCAGCTTGCTGACTGCCAGGCGGAACAACTCCACTGTGAACCCCGAGAAGGAGTATGATGCGGTCTCGTTTGTAGGTGGGGAGGCCGAAGAGGAGGTGATGTTGACGAACTGCTGGAAGCCTTTCTTGTAGGGCACGGCTAGCAGCAGCTTGCGGCGCGGAAAGGCGCCTGAGGGGGGCTGTTGGGTGGAAGCGGGAACGGTGGAGGGTGGGGGGTGAAGAGCGTGTTAGAACATAGCATACATTGTCATAGTCCGCTTGGTACAGCAGCTTGCTGACAGCCAGGCGGAACAGCTCCACGGTGAACCCCGAGAAGGAGTACGATGAGGAGGTGGTCTCGCTTGTAGGTGGGGAGGATGAGGAGGAGGTGCGGGTGATGTTGACAACTGCTGGAAGCCTTTCTTGTAGGGCACGGCTAGAAGGAGCTTGCGCCGCGGAAAGGCACCAGAGGGGGGCTGTTGGGTGCAAGGGAGTGGGTGGTGGGGGGATGGGAGGTGGGGGGAGGGAAAAGGGTGAATGGGAGAGAGATGGACGGAAGAGGAAGATGGGTGGAGGGGTGAATGCGAGGAAGGTGGGGGGAGGAAGGGAGAACGGAGGAAGAGAGGACAGGAAACGGAAGGTGATGGGAATACGGGTGGAAAAGGTGTGGGGATGGGAAACTTGACGCACGGTGGAGACAGATGAGCATTCAGGATAAGGAGGGTCAAGTCTTGAGATTCTCAAGACAAGCACACGAAAAAGAGAGTGCCGAGAAAATGGTGAGATTTGAGTCGACTCAAAAGTCTCGAGATTCTCAAGACAAGCACACAAAAAGAGAGAGTGCCGAGAAATGGTGAGAAGGAGGGATGGAGACAGGGAGGCACCTTGGTAGCGTTGCCTGGGAAGGTGATGTTGAGCATGCGGGATGTGCCGTTCATGGGGGGTAGCTGCACACACACACACACACACACACACACACACACACACACACACACACACACACACACACACACACACACACACACAGCACAGCACAGCACAGCACGCACACACACACACAACACAGCACAGCACACGGTTCGTACATCAAAGGAGGGGCATACACCAAGGGAGGGCATGAGGAGCAGCGAGGAGGCTAAAAGCTTTTGCGAAGGCTCACAAAGCCCACAAACAAATGGGCGTACATCAAGGGAGAGGAGGGGCGTACATCAAGGGAGAGGAGGGGCGTACATCAAGGGAGAGGAGGGGCGTACATCAAGGGAGAGGAGGGGCGTACATCAAGGGAGAGGAGGGGCGTACATCAAGGGAGAGGAGGGGCGTACATCAAGGGAGGGCGTGAGGAGCAGCGAGGAGGTCCAGAAGCCAACTGGCACAGCGGTGCCGTTGATCACGTTGAGAATGCGCGTCACGTTGGACTGCAGGTCGCCGTGCGAGTTGAGTGTGATCCTGGCGGTGGTGTGGGGAGGATGGGGAGGATGGGCACAGTACAGTACAGTACAGACGTTGGGACCGGGGTACAGGGCGCTCATTGGGGGGATGGTTGAGAGAAACCGACTGGCACGGCGGTGCCGTTGAGCACGTTGAGAATGCGCGTCACGTTGGGCTGCAGGTCGCCGTGCGCGTTGAGTGAGATCCTGGGGAGGATAGGAATTGAGAGGGAGGGAGGGGTAAGGAATCGCAGAGCAGGGTTGCCCTGCGCACGTGTTGAGGATACCTCGTTTGACTCCGTTTGACTGCGGGACACTTCCATTTCAGACAGCAGTTTCACACCTTTGTTGCTTTGCAACGCTGTATCAAAATCTGGTGATCCTCACTCATCTGCCCCTGACTCCGTCGAAAGTGGCTGACAGCATGGCTTGGCGAAGCATGGGGCCCACTGCACTGCACGCGTGAAAGGAAGGCTATGTGGGATTGTTGCCCTAGATTAGGTGCAATTCCACTTTGATCTTGGAGGCTCACCTGCCCCTGACTCCGTCGAAAGTGGCTGACAGCATGGCTTGGCGAAGCATGGGGCCCACTGCACGCGTGAACGAGCAGGGAGAGAGGAGTTGCAAAAAGAGGGGAAGGTAAAGAGAGAACAGAAAGGGGGAAAGGTGACGAAGAAGGGAAATACAAACGTTTTCAAACATTACTCTCTGACCCAGTTCGGAAGGTGGCTCAAGTCGAGTGGTCAGGCCATTGACCTTCCGAAGCTGACCTTGTAAAGTTGACCTCGTGCGAGCACGACTCGAGCTCCTCTTCTAACTGTGACCACCTCACCCTTGTTTTCTTTCCTCTCACCTGATTTGAAAACTACCTTGTCAGTTAGCAATCTCACTCACCTAAGCTCCGTTTGAGCCCACGCAGCTGCGGAGCATGCTTCCTGCTGGCCGCGTTCCTGTAGTCCGTTTGCAGAGTAGGAGAAGTCAAAGCAGTGCCACTATTGCAACCAGAAGCATCAGAGCCTTGAGCGGCAGCAGCAGCAGCACCAGCAGCAGTGGCGGCGGCGGCAGCAGCAGCAGCAGCAGCACGGGTCGTTCCCGGCCAGAGGGGTGAGGATATGGGAGGTGGGGGTGCATGGGGCGGGAGTGGGTGAGAAGGGGGTGATACCGGTGGGTGTGGGTGACGTATGGGCGAATGAGGAGAGTGAGAAGGGGGTGGAAGAGGCGGGTGTGGGCGATTTATGTGTGAGTGAGAAGGGGATGAAGGGTCAGCATTGCACTGTGTGAGGCTGCCGCCGCTGCTTCTGCTGCTGCTGCTGCTGCTGCTGCTGCTGGTGGTGGTGCTGCCAGTGGTGGCGGTGCTGTGATTGACATAGAGCAGGGAGTGCAGCCCCCAGGCTATGAGGTACGTGGCGTCATATGCTGCTAGTGTGTACGACTTGGGCTCCTGGAGGAGAGGGAAAGGAGGGAGATGAGAGAGGAGGGGAAGGAACGGGAGGAGGGCAAGGATGGGCATAGAGGGAGGCAAGAGGCGTCGTATGCTGCTATCGTGTACGACTTGGGCTCCTGGAGGGGAAGGAGGCGTGAGGAGGGAGATGAGGGAGAGGAGGGGAAGGAAAGAAAGGCAGCGTGAAGCTGAGAGAGCTCGCTTTCCCTACTGGAAGCCCCCGGTGCTGCCATAGATCAGGGAGGAGAGATGGCGGGGTAAGAGGTGTAACAGGCCGCCAGGGTGCGGGACTGACTGACCGACTGACAGATTGACTGACTGACTGACTGACTGACTGACTGACTGACTGACTGACTGACTGACTGACTGACTGACTGACTGACTGACTGACTGACTGACTGACTGACTGACTGACTGACTGACTGACTGACTGACTGGCTGACTGACTGACTGACTGACTGACTAACTGACTGACTGACTGACTAAGGGGCCCTCGAAATGGGTTCCACAGTTCCACTCTCTGCTTGAAAAGATGTCGAGACGAACTCACCTCCTTGCTAGCGTTGGGGAAGCGTATGGGGTTCAGGTTGGCCCAATTCTCCCGAAACGAGGTGAGGCGCGGTGATGGAGGGAGGTAGGTTGAGGTAATCACCATGCCCTGGTGGTGGCACGGGTGTGAGGGGGAGAGGTGTGTGTGTGGGTTGAGAGGGGTATGAGAAGAATGAGAGTGGTACGAGTGAGACGCGGAGATGGAGGGAGGTAGGTCGATGTGATGACCCTGCCCTGGTGGTGGCATGGGTGTGAGGGGAGTGAGAGGGTGTGGGAGGAGTTAGCGGGTGTGAGGGGGGTGAGAGAGGGTGTGAGGGATATGAGACGAGACGAGTGAGAGGGGTATGAGATGAGTGAGAGGTATGAGGGGAGTGAGTGAGATGAGATGCGAGGAGGGTGAGAGGGACACGAGAATCCATCTCGCCTCTACGTTCTGCAGCCACCTCTAACCAGACCGCCCTACCCCAGGCGCCCCTACCCCAGGCGCCCCTACCCGAGGCGCCCCTACCCCAGGCGCCCCTACCCCAGGCGCCCCTACCCCAGGCGCCACCGCACCTTGACGTTCTGCAGCACGGTGGAGTTGACCAGCGCCGCCCCCTCCAATGCCCGTTTGACTCGACACACCTCAGTGCTGTGCAGGCCCCATCCCACTGCCCCAGGCCCCACAGACTCGCAGAGATCCACCAGCAACCCATCTCACCTCGACGTTCTGCAGCACGGTGGAGTTGACCAGCGCCGCCCCCTCCGATGCCACCCACACCGAGTTCTTCCCCACCAGCTGCATCTGATTCGCTGCATGCATGCGATGTGACAGGCGGGGAAGGTGTGGCAGGAGGAAGGAAGGGATGTGTCCTATCGTTGGAGTGGGTCAGTCAGCCGTATGATAACCACAGACTGAAATCGCTTTTGAGAATTGTCAAAAAGTCACTTCTATGATAACCATAGACTGAATTACAGAATAGCCGTAGACCGAAGTGTGAGCCGTCTCAAAAGTTCTAGGCAGGCGTACCAGCAGAGAAGATGACAGCGCAGAGGGCAGCAGCGGCATGCACCACAAAGACCGCCGGATCCAGCCGCTCCACTGCTGCCAGCGCTGCTGCTGTATCCGCCACCGACCACGTCGTCTTGATCGGCACACGTGTCGCGATCCTGACCTTCCATTGCTGAGAGAGCCAAGGTTGGGGAGAAACAAGAGCAGAAGCAGCGGAGTGAGAGGCGTGTAGAATAACCGTAGCGTGTACTCAATGCAGGCAGATTCGTTAGAATTGTGCCTACAGAGAGTCAGTACCTAAAAGTGCCGGGTGGGATGAGGGCACACACACACGTGCACCTCCTGTATGGAGAGAGATAGGCGTTGAGGCGTGTGGACTTCAATTTCAAGAGGGCGCACCTCCTGTACGGAGAGGTAGCCGTTGAGAGACGCGATGCCGTTGCGGCCAAAGCGGTTGTCGCTGTGAATGACGATCACCTCGCTCCACTTGTTGAACGCCAGGAACTCTGCAGAGGGGACAAAGGTGGGCGGATGAGGGGCAGTGAAGGGTCATGGATGGATGAGTGAAGGATGGTCACCACTTTATGGTTTACAGGCTACACCAGCCAGTAACCTCCTCCTGCCTTGCAGGGCACATCAAGATGCGATGGCACCTGTCACAATCGCACCATCGCAGAGTATGTCGCACCAACCACAATCACCACCAACGACAACCACCAGAACCGCCAAGCTGCTCACTGCTACCGTCACTTTCGTTACAGTCACCTGCAATGGACATGTCCATGCCGTCATTGTTATGGTGCGCACAAAGTATAGCTGATCATCCCTCACCGTCAGCCGCACGCATCACCTCATCTTCTGTGCACAGCAGCACGTGCCAGAGTGTCACCATGTCTCACCTGCAATAGCGCGCATGTCCATGCCGTCGTTGTGAATGGTTCGCATGAAGTACGGCCGGTCGCCACCCGCTGTCAGCCGCACGTCCGTGGCGGACGGCGACACAAAGGGGATCTGGGCGGCAAAGAACAAGAGGAGGATGTTTGGAGGGAAAGCAGAGGGAAAAGTGACAAGACAGTGAGGGGGGCTGCTGCTGAGAAATCTCAAATGCACGTCCCGCTGTCAGCCACACGTCAGTGGCGGACGGCGACACAAAGGGGATAGGGGCGGGGCAGATAGAGCAAGGACGGAGGTTGGGATGAAAGAAGAGAGGTTAGGACGAACGTGACACGTCATTATGGGCGCCGAGCTTCTTCGATGCCATGCCACCCACACACACACACGACACACACACCCACACACACACATGGCATCCGTATGTGACGCCCTTCCCGCCCTCCCCACACTTGCGCGGTTCCACCCTTCCCTCCCTGCCCACCTGCGCGAACGCCGCCAGCGGGCTGACCAGCGCGGCCTGGTCTGAGTTGCGCGGCCCCACCACCGCCACGGGCATGGGATCCATCGACGCCAGCTGGAGGGCTGCGAGAGGAGGAGGGGGAGAGAAGGGGAGAGGGGGAAGGGGGGAGAGGGGGAGGGGAGGAGTGGGGAGGGGGTTTCGGGTGAGGGGTTGTTTGGGCAGAGCAGCCTGGTCTGAGTTGCGCGGCCCCACCACCCCCACGGGCATGAGATCCATTGACGCCAGCTGGAGGGCTGGAAGAAGGTGGGGAGAAAGGGTTGTATGGGCAGCGCGGCCTGGTCCGAGTTGCGTGCGGGAGAGGCGAAGGGTCCGAGTTGTGCGGTCCCACCACCGCCACGGGTAGAGAATCCATTGAGGCTAGCTGGAGCGCTGGGGGAAGCTAAGGGGGGCAATCGGAGGTTGGGGGGAACGGAGGCGGGAGTTAAAGGGGGGGAGGGGAAGGGGAGTAGCGGGAGGTGGGGGGTGAAGAGGAGGGTGGGGGGGTGGATGGGGGGGCGGGGGTGGGGGGAGGAGGGGGAGGAGGGGGGGGGGGGGGGGGGGGGGGGGGAGTGTTACAGCAGTGAGGATACAGTCTCTGGTTTGAAATGGGGAACATGGGTTACGCACCTGCCATCTGCCCTGCAACGGGCTGCGTGGTGTAGTTGAGCGGCGCGAGCAGCAGCGTGTGGTTTGGCAGCAGCGACTTGGACAGGTTGATCTCACCCACTGCTAGAGTCACGGCTGGGGGGGGTGAGGGGTTGGGGAGGGCAGCGGGGAGGACGGCGTGGGGGAGGACAGCGTGGGGGAAAGCGCAGCGTGGGGGGAAGGGTAGTGTGGGGGGAAGCGCATTGTACGGGGAAGGACTGCGTGAAGGGGAGAAGAGCGTGGGAGACAACACTACAACACTGAAGCACCATTTTCTGGACTATTCCAAAAACCCCCCCTTGGTAGTACCGGCAAGCATGTGAACGCTGTCGGGGGTGAGATCCACAGGCACGAGGCAGCCAATCGTGATCGACGGCGACGCGGCTAGGTCCGACAAAACAGGTTGGGACGAAACCGAAGAAGCAGCTTCGTTCGTCGCGCGCGGCGATTGGCGCGAGGGTGCTGCGACCGGGGAGAATCGTTGCGAAGGCATTTTGCCATCGAGGGGTAACAGCGTCGTTGACGCGTCGACTTGCCGGTGCTGGTAGTGCAAGGCCCCATGAAGCCTAAATTGCGGATCGACCATCGACGACGCCGAATCCGGCGCCTCCTCCTTTACCAGGGATGCGCGCTGAGCGTCGCGCTCAAATCCCGCTGAACCGCCGTCCGCAGCGCTCCGAGAACCCTGAGAACTCCGGTAACTTTGAGAACTCTTGAAACTGCTTGACCACGGTGCGTCGCCGGCGCTCCTCTTTTCAGCACGGTCACTCCATCCTAGGGGTTCAAAGCTTATGTCTCTGCTCGCGGGATGCCTTCCTTCCACCACCGTATCCGCAACATCTGCTCCCACGGTCGTCCAAAAAACTGCACACTGGCACGTCAGCAACAGTACCAGCCACGTCATCGTGAACGCGCCGGCATTCCAGCGGGTTCCGTGAAAAAATGGGAAGATGTTTGCAGCGCGCCGAGCCCTCGAGGTCCGGATACAGCCGCAACGTCGACCCAGCAACTCAATACTATCTACACTACTACTACGGCTACTACTACGGCTCCTGCTGCTGCTGCTACGAGTACCGCTAAGAGAAAACCTAATCTCCGTTTTTGCACTCGGAGATTTTCGAATTCTCGGAATACGGAACATATTCTCCGTCTCGCGATTCTTGTAAACGCCGAAATCTACCAGGGAGCGAGAATCGGAACCGCGCCAAGATAAATGGTGCGATAATCGCCGCGCTGGGTATAATAACGACGATTTTGAGAATAACGGCGCTTTGGAGTATAACGACGATTCTGAATCTAACGACCAGTCCTCCTCGCGGCGAGAGTGGAACTCGGGGTTCACTGGTGGATGAAGCTGCATTCGGCGGTGACTCGACGACGTGGGGAACCGCGCGTCGTCTGACGTCGTCACAGCAGGCCAGCCGCCATCAAAGACTCGGTCCTCATCGAAAAGTCGGTCGCCAGCCGCGACTCGATCGCCATAACCAGCGTCAACATCGTCGCGATGACGATGACCGTCGTGATGTCGCGAATAGATTGCGACCATTGCGGCATCTGCGGCGAGTCCTGCCTTCGAGAACCGCGTGTCGATTGGGGTCGACGGGGTAGTAGTAATATTGAACCCTCCACGCGTATTCTTAATTCTGCGAGAGTCTACTTTTCGACGTGGTAACGAACTGGCGGAAGAGGTGTCGTTATTGCTGTGGTCGAGAGTCCTCGTCTCTGCCATTGTCGCCGCGTTGGTAATAGGCGTAAATAAAGAAGCTCCTTCAAGTATGGTAGCGAATACAGCGAGGTCGTCATTGCATCGTGAAAAGAAACTTCAATAGATAACGCGACACTTGCCTGAAGGAACTCTATGTGAGACTCGTTTGCGATTTTGTACTTGAAATGGAGTATACAAGAAGAACACAAGGACAAAACACTTGGAGCAGAGTGAAACACAAGAAGATCACAATCACACTTGGTGCAGTGAGCCCCACACACACATCAACAAGAAGGACACTACAGTATCGCACTTGGTGCAGTCAGCCACACTACACATGAAATGTCATGACATTCTCCCAGAATGCTCCACAGGGAAATGGGTAAGTAGCTTTGGCGGGGGTACTACACATGATGCTCACCCCCTGCACGCGAATTTTCCATGTGCCAGATGAAAACTCTGCGCCCGTGTTTTTTTCCGCAGTCAGTTGCACGCACGTTACAAGCACGTCGCGTGGTTCTGCGCCAATAGCAACAAAAGACTGAAGTCAAAGTGTCAACGACTAAGTTACAACTACTTTATAAGCACCTGACGAATCCTTTTTTGCTATCTGCGAATTGACGAAACTTATGCGAAATCCAAGAACAGCTTAAGTGCTCCCTTCACTAGGCAACCGGGGGTGGCTCAACCCTGGCATCATGTGCACTAGCGACCCTGCGCTTTCCAAGAAATTACAGTGCTGGTTACGGACACTTTCCGCCCCTCCGTCCCTCCGACGGGAAAGTTATTGCAACAATACAGAACTCAGCTCCGCATACACCCATGTATCACAAATTCGCAAGCTACTGGAGAAACCTGACAACAAAAAAAAAACTAAAACCCAATCGGAAATGGATGTGTCTCGGGGGGGCATCAACCCTAAAAAAAATGCGGGCAGACCCATGTGCGCAGTTTTCGGGCAGTACTCTAGTGACCCCACATATTATGAAAGATAACTTCAGTTCCAAACCTAGGTACTGTATACTGGTGAGTATTCCCCTGAATTTTTTCGGGTCGAGCCACACCCCGAATTCTGGAACACTACACGACACGACAGCATCCACCAACGCACACAGCATGGATATCTCTACAGTGCAAACCTGGATCTGTGAGTTGCAACAGTACTGCGACCGTGTCAGGTTTTTCTTTTCCGAATTGAATGCACAGTGGGACCGGGGCATCGACCCAGATGGACAGGAGATTAAAGTTTTGGGCACATACTTATGTGTTGTGTGCTCTGCTGCTTCTGCTGCTGCCATCTCAACTGTGACAGGTGTGAAACAACCAGACGAGTCATTGTTTGCCACTTAGTAGAGTAAAGAACTGTATCGGAATGAAAATGTGGAAATCTATTGCTGAAACTTGTCCCTGTCATCATTGGATGAGTTTCATGGTTGGTTGTACACCCTGTTTCTCGATGTTTGAACAATCGGGAGCCCCGGCTACAGTGCGCACGTGTGCTTGGATTCAGCGGGCTGGTGCTTGCAACCGAAATGCACTTCAGGAGAACGGTAGACAACGGTTTATGAAAAAAAAAACGTGCTTTTGAGTTCGGTTTCGTGCGGCCAAAGTGCTTATACGGTATGTTCTGGGACCAATTTGGACGCATTGATGTCAGTACAACCGGCTTGTCAATATGGCGAATGTCAGTGTGGCGCGAAACAGGGTGTAGGTGAGGGAGTGAATGCTTTGCTGGCAGTACACGCGATGCTCGTTTGACTAATCCAATGTTGCCTTGTACAGGAGGCTTTCAAGTGGTTCTAAGTTTTCGCAAATTTCGACAATGTCGCACCTAGCTAAAAAGGGGTTATAGAAATTTTGTAACTCTCTATTGACATTTTGACTTCAGTTTCTTCTGTTTGACTTCAGTTTCTGTGGTTCGTATCGGTTCACAACTACTGCAACTTGCTTGAGAGGCCTATAATGTAGGTGCAACAGGCCGGTAAACAAACACAGGTGCAGACTTTCTATTGCGGAAAGCAAAAATTCGCGCGCAGGGGTTGAGCATCGTGTGTAACAACGTAAGACGCAGGACTGCCAAGTTCAACCTTCATCCCCGTTGAATTTCCAGCTCGGTTGCGGGCCTGGTCAGCACAGCACAAATCATTCAATGCAACCCAAACAAAGATGTACGGTTTGTTAGCAGCAACAGTTTTCGGAAGACTCGTTACGTGGTTCGGCACATACCCCATCAGCGACGCGATGCGAGTGGCTAGTTGGACAGATCCATTCCAAAACGAAAAGCATGGAGGTGGGTGTCGTACCACATAATTCTGCTGGATTTTGCAACTGCCAATAACGCTACACCGAATGGGGAATCTTATTACAACTAGAAAAAACAAATATCAACATTCCTCTATACTGTTAGGGCGTGTCCGAATTGACATGTCGATGGATGTCGATGGATGTCGACGGATGTCAGGGTGGTAGGTGAGATTTTTCAGGCCGGCATTGTGTCCGAAGTGATCTGACATCCATCCGACATCCATCCGTCATCCAGCTCTGTGTAATCATACAGTCAAAGGGTGCCGCCAACAGTGACCTCGGGCTGGTCAACGTGGCGGTTGACGAACCAATTTATTGATAACAAAATTTGAGGGAGAACCGTGGCGAAAGTATTTCTTGGCAAGCGACAGCCCTTCGTGACTTGTACGTGGTGTGGTGACGAAACAAGTTCGCGAAATTCGTGACTCAAAATTGAACCTTCAATATTCTCTCTGGTCTGCCCTTGCCGGCGCCAGCAGTGCCGGCCTGCATTTTTTGGGGCAGTTATGTCGCTGGCATTGTGTCCGAAGTGCCTCGACATCCATCTGACATCCGTCCGTCGTCCCCTGTCATCCGCCACCGTCATCCATTGGATGACGGATGGATGTCAGATGGATGTCGAGGGTCACTTCGGACCCGCCCTTATGATCATTATTTTTCAAGCATCACTGGGGTCGCCTGTCTTAGCCAATCTCTTTCTCGTCTTCACGTTGCATTGCATGCATGGGTATAAGATAAAACATGAATTGCTTTAAAATATCGGCCGTGCTTCCCTTTCCACTCCACACGATAACTCGTCTTTCATGCGTGACTCCTACACAATCCGAGTGGGTTTACAAAAAGATGAAAGGAGTGTGGTAGAGAATGTGTGGTCAAGCAGCAGGAGCATCCCTTTCGAAGCAGTAATACATGGCATAGACATCAAACCGTATTCAGTCAATAGCTGGGGTTCGCTGCATTTATGAAGGCGCTAGAAAATCCTGGAAAACCCTCAAGCTGCTACGAAAGCTGCTCAGGAGTCAGGAGTCAGTCAGCACAAGGCTTATGGCAATGACGTTGAACTGCAGGGAGTTGGGGCTCGCTGCAATCTTTCAGGTGCCTAAAAGAACCCCTAAAGCTCGCGCTATATATCTTGTGCCCAGACAAAGCTCCATGCTGGAGTTAGGAGTCGGGCGGCACAAGGCTCATGGCAATTACATTGAACTGTAACGAGTCGGGGCTCGCCGCAATCACCTGCTGCATCACCCCCGCCGCATCCTGCCACGTGCGAAGGAAGCACGGAATGCAAACCAGACGAGAACAAAGAAGAATGAAAAGAGGTGTTACACCACGTGTAGGACTGTAATGAGTTGCGGCTCGCTGCAATCACCGGCTGCATCAGCCCTGCCGCATCCTGTCACACGCAGAGCAAGCAAGGAGTAACATGACGAGAACAAAGAAACAGCATCATCGCTGCATCCTTAAACATGCATAGAAGGCATGCTAAGTGGAGTCTGACTGGAGGTCTTTTGAGACGTCTCAAAAGTCAGATACATGCATAGACGGCATGCAAAGAAGACTCTGACTGGAGGGGGGACAGGGGAGGTGAAGGCACGGAGGACAGAGGAACAGGAATGGGGGATGCGTGGAACAGTGAACGGGTAACAGAGCAAGGGGGCAAGAAGGAGGTGGCTTGAGGAAAACCAGCTGCACTCCCCTCCCCCTCCCCCCCCCCCCCCCAACACCAACATCCCCATTTGCACACATTCAGCTGCAGCCGTGATCTGATGAAGACAATCCCTTGAGAAGTATGACTCTTTGTGTGCTGAGTAAGCACGCACAAAAAACTGCATGCTGGCAAGGGTTTTGAGCTGACTGAAACCTGGCAATGGCAGTCCCTTAGGACTCGTGGTTGCGTGTGAGTTGAAAAAGCATGATTCGACATCCATGCAAAGAGCTGCAATATTGGAGCCACCTCTGAGAGTTCTTAAAAGTGAATACCACGGCTGCAAGTGTGCTGAATAGACAAGCTCAGAAATGTGTGTGAAAGGTGTATCCTCGAAAGGCATGTCTCCCCTCTTACTGTGACACTCACGTGTGCCAGGGTAATCAGCGAAGGTAACCCACATGAAGAGGGGTACTAACAGAGATTAACTAATCTGCAACAGGTTTTCAAAAGGCAATAACACACCTGCAAAGAAAAGGCAACTCACCTGTTGCAGGGTAACATGGAAACATAACCCACCTGCAGCAGGGTATCAGGCGTTGAAGGGCCATGGTCGACTGGCTTTGGCTTGCGACCATCTAGCTCATACAGGCGACCTGAAAGGAGTGTTATGGCAAAACAGGTAGGAGGATGTGTGTGTGAGTTGACACATCCGAGTCGAGTAACCTGGCTTGTGGAAGTATATCAGTGCAAGGCAGGAAGCTTTATTTCTTTGCCCCATGCAATTTTTGAAGCGCCTCAAAATTGGCTCAATGGAAAAAACAGATGTAAGAATTGCCTCAAGAATCCCCTTTTGTGACTTGCCCGAAAAAACAGGAAGCCCTAGAAGATGTCATGACTGGTTGCTTGCTTGGTTAATCCAGCTACAACAAAGAGAAAGAACACAAGCGCAAGCGTATGCGAATTTGACTCTATGGGCTCTGACTTGTAAGTGCAAGTGAGACACAGACCCCCAGTCACAACAAAGTCTATATTGAGGGGCCTAAAAAAATATGCTTTGACTGATAAGTACAGACCTCCAGTTGTGACGAAGGCGACAAAATGCAAATCCACACACTCGTGGATGCTTGGGGGCTGCAGAAAATAATTCTTTAAGGCGCCTCAGAAGTCTGACTTTTAAGTGCGTGTGAAATACGGACCTCCAGAGGTCACGAAGGCGACAAAATGCAAATCCACACACTCGTGCATGCTTCGGGGCTGCAGGAAATCAGGGAGGCGGGGAAAAGGAGAAACAGGGACATGGAGGCAGGGCGGGAGTGAGAACGGATATGACGAAAGGAGGGGAGGCAAGGCACTATGCATCAACTGATGGCTTAAGAACCGACAACTCTTAACCAGCTGGCTGAAACTTCTGTCAATGAAACATGCGTTTCTGTCCTCAGTTTGAAGCCGTTGGCCCAAATTGTTCATCCTTTAAAAAGTTGACCGGGGGGTGTTGTTTTGCTCTGGATTGTGACGAGGGTTTCAGAATTTAGTAAATTTCGTTTGATCGCCGAGCCCAACCAGACCCCCGTTTCCCCCTGCTGGTTGGGTGACTTCTCGATAGTCCCAAATTGCAGGCCCACTTCTTTTCAAAGTTTGCAAACTCATCGCTGTCAAGTTTTACAAGCTTGACACACGCGGCCCGCAATTTGGGCCGCGGGCTTTAAGCAAGTTGAGCAAGTTGAGGAAAAACGCACCCGAGTGTCGCCTGCCTCTGCTGCATCTGTGTGTGCCTTCTCCAGTAATGTGTCTGCTTCCAGGTAGGCTGCTCGCTGCGAGGTGGGATATGGGAGAGTGGGGAGAGGAAAGAGGGGCGGAGAGAGATGGGGAGATGGAAAGTGGAACAAAAGTACGTCTGTATGTGCCTTCCTCCAGTAACATGTCTGCCTCCAGATAGGCTGCTCGATGGGAGGTGGGGACGTGGGGATATGAGATATGGGGAAAGGGGAGAGTGCTGAAATAGGCTGCATCTGTGTCTCGAAATTCATCTGCGTGTGCCTTCTCCAGCAACGTGTCTGCCTCCAGGTAGGCTGCTCGCTGGGAGAGAGGGGAGAGTGGATAGATTCAAGTAAGGGGGATTGCGAGAAGGATGATCGAAATTTGGGCGAAGGAAAAAGGAATTAGGGTAGAAGAGAGGAGGAGGAAGAAGGGAAGAGAAGTGAGGGGAGCATATAGGAAGGTGTCACTAAATCACAAACCAGACCAATATGCCATGCACTCACATCTTCAGGTGTCATGTCTTTGGTCTTCTCAAAAAACTGTTGGAGGAAAGAACCCTGTTCTGTTGGAGATGGGGGAGGGGAAAGAGGAGGATCAGAGGCTTTTGAAAATTGTCATAAGTCAATTTAGCATTCCAAGCATGGAAAAAACGGCATGGAACACTGCAGTCCGACCTCTCAGACGTTTTTGAGCCAATGTTTAAGGCATGGGACTCTGCAGCCAGACTTGTGAGACGACTTTTGAGTCGACACATAAGACGACTTTTGAGAGGCATGGAACTTGGCATTGAGACGTCTCCGATCGCGTTGCATTCCAATCCAAGTGAATTGGTGTATGTAAGGGATGAGTGGTGGGTTGGGTACTGAGCGTGAGCCTGTGCTGGTTGTTGCCGATGGAGTGGAGGAGCGCGATGGTGCCGCATGCATCGTCTATTTTTGAGTCGACTAGAATATAAACTCACCAAGAGTGAGCCTGTGTTGGTTGTTGCCGATGGCATGGAGGAGTGCGATCGTGCCGCACGCGTTGTCTATGGTCTGCCGCACGAAAAATGGCTGTGATGTTTGGAGGGTTGGCAGCAGCGGGGAGGAGAGAACAAAGGACAAAAAGAGATGGGAAACCGGGAGAAAAAGAGAATGGTAGAAGTGGGAAGGGGAGCGATCGTGCCGCACGCGTTGTCTATGGTCTGCCGCAAAAAAAATGGCTGTGCAGTCTCATGGGAGGTTGGCAAGGGAGGCAATAAACAAAGGTGGGAAGAATAAAGGGAAGGCGATAAGAAACGGAGAGTTGGTAGGGTGAAAGAATGGTTCAACACTGGGAATGACTGAGGCAAATCAGGACCTGAGTCCACAGGGGGAGTCGCACACTCGGGTACGAAACGGACGCAGGCCAGCGGGACTTGATTCAGCTGAAAGAGTTGCATGCTCGGGCTTTGAGGCGCTAGAAAACAATAAGCGCAGCGAAGGAGCATGCAACACTTTTGCTGACGTGGCAAAAAAAAAAAAATAGGCGCAGGCCAGGAGGACTTACACCAGCAGGGGGGGTTGCCTCTGCTTGAGAATTCTCGACAGTAAGAAACAGTAGATGCAGGCCGGCAGGACTTACATCAGCAGTGAGAGTTGCCTGCTCGGGAACCTGCTCTTGCTGCTCTGGCTCTTTGGACCGCTCCTGCACGGAAAAAACAAAGAAGGTGGCAGCACAGCACCATAGCAAGTGTTAAGCACAGCACCATCAAGCAAAACGAAAGTTTGTTATGGGGCAGTGGTAAAGAGGGATCGTACCACAGTCTTTGTTCTAAAGAAGTCAAAGCAGAAATATTCTTTGAGTGTTACGCAGGCAGTACCTCGGGCGGCAGCAGGAAGCGGAAGAGAAGCGCGAGCACTGGGTGAGCAAGCATGCCGGCCGCAGGCTCGGCGCTGCGTAAGCAGCAGAGGGCGACAAGGCAGTACCTCGGGAGGGAGCAGGAAGAGGAAGAGGAGCGCGAGCACGGGCTGAGGCACCATGGCGAGCAGATCCGCGTCCAGCCCAAAGACATCGTGGAAACCCGCTGTAGGCGGAAAGCCCACCTTGCGCACGAACTGGTAGGCATGGGGAGGTAGTTGAAGGGGAAGGAGAAAGGGGATGAAGAAGGGAAATCGGGAACGGGTTAGTTTATGATTTGGCTAAAGACCACCAGCAGCGCATCGCTCACGTCGCTCGTCGCCTCACGTCGCTCGTCACCTCACATCGTTCATCACTTCCGGGTTCGATTCCAGCGGTAGCCATTTCTTGCTGCGCGTCTCCTCCGCGCGGTTTCCACCTCCGGGAGCCACGTCAGCGGGCGGGGTGCTGTCGGCCATAGCTGCCACGCGGCCGAATAACGCCTCAGTGGAGAATTAACCTTGTTTGATGATGAATTTCCACCTAAATTTCAAGGACAAAGGCTGAAAGTCGAACTATAACCGAATAACGCCCGTATGAACGCACAGTCGGATTGTCAATCTAAGCGGTCGCCACGATTTCCACCTTGGTGCTTCTGACGGCCTCTAGAATGATGTGCTAGTTGCTGCAATTCCGAGAATGCCGAATGAGAGAATTGCTCCAGGGTGATTCGCTCTTGCCCACGTATCCCCGAATTGCTCGCGTGGCCATTTAATTCTATGTCACGTGCCCCATATGTCGCGTTACCACCGCCAAATACCTCGCAAGACTCCATCCGCCCCGGCAACGAAAGTGACGACGACGTGTTCGAAGTAACCAGCTTCCACGACTACGATCGCCTGCACTATGAAAAGACCAACGAAACAGGTCTCCGGGTCCTTGGGCTCGCCGTCGTCGTTTGCCACACCTCCCCCAAGGAACCCACCATTGTTCGCCAAGCTCTCTCCGGCCCCGACAGTGAGAAATGGAAGGCAGCCATGACCAAGGAGATCGCTTCGCTTAGGAGCCATGGCACCTGGAAGCTCGTTCCGCGGACATCTGCGAAGGGGAGAAAATTTCTCAGCGGAAAATGGGCGTTCCGCATCAAGACACTGGCGGATGGCTCCATCGACAAATGTAAAGCGCGATGGGTGGTGCGCGGCTTTGAACCAGCTGCCCCACGACCTCGGCATGTACAGGAAGGAGTCGCGCGGCAAATTCATCCTTCTCGTCGCCTACGTCGACGACCTTCTCTATACCGGTGACGACACGGAGCTACTGGACCAGTTCGAAGCTGACATCAAGGAGCAGCTGGAGGTCACTGTCAACCACGACGTCACTCAATTCCTGGGTCTCAACATCACCCAGTTTGCCTCCTCCATTCATCTCTCCGCCGCCAAATATGCCGAAACACTCGCGAAGAAATTTGGCATCGCACCTATCAACCTCTCTACCCCATTTCGCACTCCTCCTCCTACACATGAACCGGACACCACGCCCCTCTCTCTCGAGGATCATCGGCTCTATCAGCAGCAGCTGGGATGCCTCTTGTTCGCCGCCGTCACGTGCCGGCCCGATCTCTCCTACATCGCAAGCCAGCTCGCTCAGTACATGAAGCGACCTGAAGGGGAGAATCTACAGGATCTACGCCGCGCACTTCAATACTTCATTTCTACTCCCGACGTCGGCCTCACCTACGAAGCTAACTTAACGGCTACTCTGCAGCTGCATTGCTACGTAGACGCTGACCATGCGGGAGATGTTGATGTCAAACATATACGTATGTTATAGTTTTGGGTAGGCTGTAGTGGGGTAGATACTGTGCGGTACAACCCCTTAGGTTTCTTGCTTGTACCAAAATCACTCGATAGTCAACACATTCCTACCTAGCTTCTAAAATGGTATCTAGAGCAGTAGGTCTTTAGGACCTAAGATTAGGGCCCACCGGTTACCGCGTTACCTCACCTACGGCCTTGCGTGCCTGCCTGCCTTGCCTGCTGCCCGCGCGCGCCCCGGTTGCACGCGCGCGTATCTTTTTTTTTAGCGCGCGCTACTGCTGCAGCCGCCTCCGCAGCCCGCTGCAGCGCCGCGCGCCGCGCCCGCAGCCTGCACCAAGCCCGCGTCGCCCGCGCACCGCTCGCGCAGCCCGCGACGAGCCCGCGTAGCCCGCCGCCGCGCGCCGCCCGCTTAGGCCCCGCGCGCCGCATCCGTCGCCAGCGCGGCCCGCTGCTGCCCTGCATGCCGCTGTAGGAGCCCGCGCGCGGCCCGCTGCTGCCCCGCGAGCTGCCTTAGGAGCCCGCGCGCGGCCCACTGCTGCAGCCTAAGCGCGGCCTGCTACTGCCCCGCGCGCTGCCTGAACTGCCTTTGCCTGCTGCCTACTGCCTGCTGCTTGCTGCCTTTGCCTTTGCCTGCTGCCTGCTGCCTACTGCCTGATGCCTGCTGCCTACTGCCTTTGCCTTTGCTTTGCCTGCTGCCTGCTGCCTACTGCCTTTGCCTTTGCTTTGCCTGCTGCCTGCTGCCTACTGCCTTTGCCTTTGCTTTGCCTGCTGCCTGCTACCTACTGCCTGCTGCCTGCTGCCTTTGCCTTAGCCTGCTGCCTGTTGCCTACTGCCTTTGCCTACTGGCTTTACCTGCACTGCGATATGGCAACGCTTAATGTTCTCGCGTTTGAGCCTGACGGTCGCCCGATCGAGTTCGCTGTGTGGCTCGACAATCTCCAACTGTTCCTTATGACCGATGCCAAAGACAGCGTTTCACTGTTCGATTACGTGTCTGGCACTGCCGTTGCTCCTGCTGACGATGCTACAGCTCTCGAACGCTCACAGTGGCAGACTCGCGATAATGCTGCACGCCTAGCTATTAGGAACCATCTACCGATCACTGAGCGCGCGCATTTCAGCTAGCACAAAACTGCTAAGGCACTGTACGACGCTGTAGTTGCGCGCTACTCCTCCCCGGCCACTGCAGCCCTAGGTCGGCTCATGCTACCCTACCTGTTCCCCGACCTGTCCTTGTTTACCACTGCTGAGGACCTCATTTGTCACCTTCGCACTAGTGACACTCGCTTTCGTGCCGCCCTTCCAGCCGAGTTCTGCGCCGCAAACCACCCACCCCCCCCCCCCCCCCAGATGTACTTCACTCTCTATTTCCTCGTCACCCGCCTCCCTGACACTCTTAGCTCCGTCAGGGACCACTTCCTAGCCCTAGACCCTACCACTCTCACTGTCGCCAACTTTGAGAAGCACCTCCTAGCAGCAGAGAAGAACATCCTCGCTGTAGGTGCTGCTCGTGGTACTCCTCGCTCTCCCCTCTTTAAGGGGTGCTCCCTCTCCCCTCTTACCCCCTCCTACGCCTCCGCAGCTGCTGCTGTCGACCTCCTTGGTGCTGAGAAGGTCGCAGCTGCTTCCGCTCCTAGTGGGAAGCGCAGCGGCTCCAGGGGAGGCAAGGGTGGCAGGGGTGGCGGACGTGGCAGTGGAGGGGGCGGTGGTGGAGGTGGCGGGGGAGGTGGAGGTGGTGGGGGTGGTCGTGGGGGTGAAGGTGGTGGTGGGGGCGGTAGTGGTGCCGGGAGCAGTGGCGGTGGCGGCGGCGGTGGTGGCGGAGCGGGGAGTGGTGGTGGCAGCGGTGGTGGGGGCTTGGGTGACACCAGTGGTGGCCAGGGGCAGCAGCAGCAGTAGCAGCAGCAGCAGCAGCAGCAGCAGCAGCCGCAGCAGCGTCAGCGCCAGACCCCCACTTCCCAGCAGCTTTTTGACTGGTATGCCGGGCGTGGGGCGTCTGGGTGTCCTGGTCGCTGCCCCTATATCATTCGCACAGGTCCCCGCGCTGGTCGCCAGTGCACAGGGTTTCACACTGAGTACCGCTGCTTCGCTCGCCTGGCGCGTCAAGATTCATGATGCTACTGAGTTCCCCAACTGGGCAGACCTGCTTAGGCGTGATGTACCTATCTTTGATCTTGACTATGAGGCTATTCTTGCTGCCATGTATAGTGCTAAGGGTGACTGCTACTTGTGTGTGCCGCCTGACCCCGGTATAGCCCCAGATATAGCGCCTGTGGCACTAGGTGCTTGTGAGTCTGCTCCCCCTGGCACTGCGTCCGCACAGGCCTTGCACACCTTCACACTTGACTCTGGTGCTTCCTGCTGTTTCTTTCGCGACAGCACCACAGTCACTCCCCTCCCTGCACCTGTTCCTGTCTCACTGACTGACCCCTCTAGGGGCCCAGTGCTTGCACGGTCTTCCACTGTGCTTCCGTGTCCGGCGGTCCCGTCTGGTGAGTTGTATGGTCTCCACCTCCCCTCGTTCTTTACGAACTCGGTGAGCAACGCCGTCCTTCAGGATCACTGGGTTGACACCTTTACTCCTGGAGGACAGCGTGTGGCGATCTGCACGTGCTCCCGTACCGGCCGTCACCTGGCCACGTTCACACGTGCACCTGGGTCCATTCTGTACACCCTCACCACTGTGTCGCGCTCCACCTCTTTGTCTCCCCAGCTGTACGCGTCTGCTCAGGTAGCTACCCAGTGTGAGTATCGCCGACTGTTGCACGACACTCTCCTGTGGCACAACCGCCTTGGTCACCCCTCCCTGCCTCGCCTTCGTAGCATGGACTCTCGCTTCCTGGTCTCTGGCCTTCCCAGGTCTCTGCCTGCCCTCCCTCCCTCGCCTGCGCCGCCCTGCATTCCTTGCGTCGAGGGGCGGCAGCGCGCCGCTCCTCACTCCTCCTCGTTCCCTCCCACAGAGGCTCCACTGCAGACTCTCCACCTGGACGTGTGGGGCCCAGCCCGCGTCCGTGGACAGGGCCACAAGCGGTACTTCCTTCTGGTCATCGACGACTACACGCGTTACACCACGGACTTCCCCTTGCAGCGCAAGGGGGAGGTCCCTGATGTTTTGATCCCCTGGATCCGCGCTGTTCGTCTCCAGCTCCGCGAGCGGTTCCAGTCGGACTTTCCTGTCCTGCGTCTGCACTCTGACAGAGGTGGTGAGTTCTCCTCAGACCTCTTGGCAGCCTTCTGTGCGGAGCACGGCATCCGCCTGACGTTCACGCTTCTGGCCTCTCCGCAGCAGAATGGGGTTGCTGATCGCCGCATTGGCTTAGTCATGGAGGTCGCTCGTACCTCTATGATCCATGCGGCTGCCCCCCATTTTCTGTGGCCGTTTGCGGTCCGGTACGCCGCGCATCAGCTCAACCTCTGGCCCCGTGTCTCCTTGCCGGAGACCTCGCCCACACTGCTGTGGACGAGGAAGGTTGGCGATGCGACGTGTTTCCGGGTCTGGGGTGCTCGTGCCTTTGTCCGCGATACCACCGCGGACAAGCTCTCCCCTCGCGCCATTCCCTGCGTCTTCCTTGGCTTTGTCCCTGACGCGCCTGGCTGGCAGTTTTACGACCCCGCCTCGCGCCGTGTCTTTCCGTCTCAGGACGTCACCTTTGACGACTCAGTTT